TTTTAAAATTCTAAATCTTATTAATAGTAAATTTAAAACCTCTAAAATAGATTAATTATATAAATTAATTGATTGGTTTAATAAAAAACATTGTTTGAATATTAAAATTTTATCTATTGATAATTCACCCTTATAGAATAATAGCTGGTTAGCTGGATTTATAAATGCTAATGATGGTTTTAATAAAATCAAAAATTTTCTATCTAGAGTAAAGTAATCTAATAATTTTCAAATTATGAAAGTAAGATAAAACTTATAAGAATGTGATACTAATGAGCAGTTCTTGGTGAGATTGACACCAAGAAGATTATAGAGTGTTATAGAATTCAATGCTCTCATTAAAGTCACAGTAAGTGTAATTTTTCTTCATTCATTTCTTTGTTACTGATTTTTATTTGTTATTAAACTGCTCAAGAGGTTGAAGTTGACCTCCTTGAAGTTGTTGAAGAGTCTGATGTCACTCTTGGTCCTCTGAAATAGAGCTCAGTTCAAGATAACTATTTTTCTTTGCTGATGCCTTTGTTTCAAAAGTTTCCACACTGATGCCTCTTCTCTTCAAGAGATATAGTGAAGAAAGGGCCAGTTGGGGCACTGCTTGGTTACCACCTTCTCAGTGGTCTCACAAAGTTTTCTCTTATGAGACAAGTCTATCCTCCTTTCTCTTTTCTATGCTGACTTTTGTTTATAGCTCTTTTTAACAATTTTTCTTAATATAAAGAAATTGCCACTGCATTTGAACCAGAGTCCTTGAAGAAACATGGTCTCAGTGGTATGTCTTTACTTCAATGATTCAAGTTTACAATTATGAGTGGTGATCTATCTACTGCTGACATCTTGACATAATTATAGAATGTTATCTTAATAATAAGTTTATTTCAAAGGTGCCATGCAGATAATGAGAATGCTGCAACCTTAAAGCATCTTCTTGAGGATCTGCACATCTGACTTGAGGATATGTTTACTCTCAGCTCAGAACAACTGGTAAGCTTCTCTCACATGCTGTCATGTCTTCCAGTTAATGATAGAGCAGACAAACATCCATGCTGTGGCTTGAGACTTGGTATATGATCCAACATGTCTCCACTTCAAAAGTATTATCATATGTGCTATTCTTTAGACTTGTTCAAGCTCTGTTAGGTGCCCTAGTTTACAGAGGGTTCTCCACATTGAATGCCTGGTGATCCTACTGAGTCCTAACTCAAAGGTCTATAATGATTAGGATCTGCTCAACATCTTCTCACTATACCAAGACTAAGCCCAATCAATCTCATGCCCTAATCATGGATACTGAATTTGAGCTGGGCTCCAGAAGTTGGTTCCATTGAGAACACAACCATCTGCTGATGGAAGAATCTTGCCATCTTTTCCCTTCCATCATTTGGCTGCTATCAAGCTATTTACAAGATATTTTCTGCTGGTAAAGAGGACGAATGCAAGCAGTGATGCATGCCACATGAATGTAGCATTTTGAACTAAGCATAAAAAATTATAACTGCAGCTTATATCTGACTTTGGTGTGCAGAATTTGAAGTAAGCCTATTGATCATTATGCCTGGGCTCAGGTAACGGGAGTTAACTGTTCATTGATAGAGTTTCCGTCCTGTGTAGGTGAGACCATTTTCTCTTCCGTGAATGATAGGAGGAGGGGAGGGCAATGACAATGGATGTACCTTTCCAGCCCGCTGCGGCTGAATAGAACCCTGGCTACTCCGATGCTCTGAACTGTAGCATGGCCGCCGCCGTCCGCACAAGAATAAATTATCGATAGAAAGCGAAGAGAAAAGGAGGACGGGAGGAGAAGAAATAATATCCCGGTAGTCCGACATGATCAAGGTACATGCAAAGAAGTCGTTTCCACATTTGGTCGTCGACGGTTGCCCTGGCACACAAGGACCCACAGCACCGGGACCTCAGCATTTGCTCAAGTACCGGTCCTAGGCAGTCCGTACCATTACTTCCAAAAAATCTCATTAAAAGCTCTACACTGCAAGTCCATGAATTACCTGGTGAAAAGTTTTAGTATCAATGTGTCCATGCGAAAGAACGACAGTAGTGAAAGTGGGCGCTGATCCGAAAATACGAGAAACGTAATGAAAGGTACCCAGATCTACCGAGGGAAAGAAGGTAGGTACGAGCATTTAACATGTTGTAAAGTATATGACGCAGTAAATATAACGCGATTAGCACGTTCTATGCGAAGCAAATAACGATGGTTAAAAATATCCAAAATATCGTCAAAAAAAAGGTCATCACGAGTCCGTCCTAGGCTTCAAAGAAGGCACCGGCGGTGCTGTCACAGGCGCAGTAAAGAACCCCTCTGCGGTAATCCCAATCGCTTCCACCCCAGCCCCAGAAGACTTCCTATTTGTTCCTCTCCCAACAGAAATTGACCCTTTGCGCCTCACTGCCCCGTTCCCACTCTCGATGCTTATCGTCGACCTCGCCTTGCTCGTCACCGGCTCGTATCCACCGCCACCGCCACCACCACCACCACCACCCTGCATCGACTTCACCTTCCCCGAGCCCCCAGACAACGTACTCCGATGTCGCGGCTTGAACGTGCTTCCATTCCACGCACTCGGTGGTCCAGATATCGACGGATTTGGATGGTATCCGTGAGCTGGTCCTATTGGCATCACCAGCATCCCATCGTCAATACTGTCCTCCTCGTCATCATTCTGCAGCACATGTACAGGTGCCTTGAAACTTGACAGCAGCGAACTCGCCCCAGACGAACCACGACTGTCTTCTTGTGGCTGCCGTACGGGTAACGCCTCTGTCCTGTCCCTCACTTCATCAAAGATCTCATAGTACCGCTCTATACACAATTTGATCACCATTCCCAGCGTCGTCTTCGACTCGGGCAGCACAGCAGGATTGGACTCGCCGGAGGACTGCAAAACTGCTGGTCCGCCGGGGACCGTACACATCATCACATCCTTGAGAGGGTTCGTACCTGAGACCAAGTTGGGGGTGAGCACGACAGCGAGGTTGTGGGCGTCCATTAGGTTCGAAGCGGAACGAAGGGATACCTCATGCATCAAATCTGTGTGGACCATAAGAAGGGAAGAACACAGCCAAACAACAAGGTCACTCACGGAGGACATGGCTGAGAAGAATGTACACGCATGGAGGTAGTGAGGGTAGGAGGGTCTCGCGAACGAAAGATACAGCGGCCATGTCTGCAGGGTCGCTAGATGGGGGAGGGCATCGTCGTATCGTCAGGTATAAGGGTTCAGGGAATATTGGTTCGGGAAGGTCCCGAAGGTATTTCTTCAGTAGGACAGCAGCGATATGGGGGTCTCCAAAGGCTTCCAGAGAAACGACATTTCCTGGTATCTGTTTAGAGATCGCTGCAGCACGAGAAGACTGATCCTACCTCGGTCATAGGCTTCTTGCAAAGCTCGGAGAAGCACTGACGGTGGTGACCGCCGGAATAGCCCTTCTGCCTCCATCCCCGTCTCACGCAGAAACTGGATACAATCTCTGACGACTCTTGGGATGCCCCCATTCTCGCCCTCGTACCCCATCAGGTCTGCTAAGGGTACACCAAAGATACTTGACGCAACCGGAGTGGGCAGAGTTATTCTTTTTTCATGTTTAGCGTTTTCCTGATATATTGCGGGCGGTATGTCAATTTGTGTAATGGGTATTTGTGCCGCGAGCGCAGAGAGTGTGTCGACATAGACAATCTTGCGAAAGAATTTGGGACTGACGATTGCTCCAGCGAGAGAGTACAGCACTATAGAGAACTGTGAGCGCGGATAGCAGAAGTTAGGAAAATCAATGTACGCACTCTTTGAAAATAAGGAAGAATGCACGATGAAGAGCAGCTTCAAGTTCTTCCTGTATTTGCGACTCAGACTGCGATACGCCTTCCAGACCCAGTTCCATCCTGGTGCGTGCTTTCCACCTGCTGCGAAGAATACGACGGTATAGTCGGCCTCAACTGAGATGGCATTAGAAGAGTAAAGATATGACGGCAACGATACACACCGTAGAGGTTCAAATATGACAGTATTCGACTACGGACCGTTAGCAAAAGGAAAATCTCAGGGGTATTTATTTAGCACGCACGACAAAAGCACGTCGTAGTTAACTTCTCGCGGATCCGGGAGGGCTGAAGCATTCAGCACGACCCTAAAGAAGATTAATGAGATATTATGACGATATGGGGCGTAGCAATAACCAACATTGGCCGTGTTCTGCACAAGCCTCGATTAGATAGAAAATCCGAGAATTTAGCGGCACACTCACTCGAAATCGACTCCAGCTTGGAATATTAGCCTGGCCATCACGTCCTGGACGTTTGCTTGCTGCTCCTGGGCATGCGTAGACTCGGACCGTTTATTCCAGAGAGCATTAACATTGAAGAAATTCTTCCGTTTAGGGGATCGTAAAGGCGTGTCGACGGCATGAAGAGCCAACGGTGTTGACGGGCCTATCGATAGTGCGGCGAGTCTCTGCTTCAGACTGAGCGAATTAGGAGGCATGAAAGGCAGCCGTCGTGGTGGACGGTAAGCAAGAAGTCGCACCCACACCTCCCCCCCGACGCCTTAGACATTGGGCACGTGAGAGGACCCCTATAATTTGAAACTCCGCCTCAGACTTGTTCCAAGTACCCACGGTGCTCGAACGACCAGCTCGAATAAATCCGGCTCATTACCACGCTTGTGTCTTGTTTCTGTTTTATTTGTTCATCTCTCATTTTGCGTACCTTACTAGTAAAAGGAAAGCCTGGTAGACGCTATGCCTTTGCCGTATGTGCATTATCGCCGTGTTTTCTGCGACCTGTATGTATTTTATGCAAATCAGACGGACTATTCTCACTGTCTACGCGTTGATATTTTAGTCCCGTCGAAGTATACGTCCCGATCTTATCGTATCTCTCTCCCTTGGATGACATCTGTTTCGGAAGGATTGACCGAAAGAAGAAGGCCATTGTTGAATCCTACTTCTGGAGCGAATTCATACAACTCATGGTCTCGTACTTCTCCAAGCAGGAACTCTTGGAGCTTCGCCTAATCCAGGCAGAGACTGGCACCCTCATTTCCGGATCCACCGCCCTACAATTCTTAGAACGGAAGACATATCCCAATTCGGACCTTGACATTTATTCCCCCGCCAGGTATAGCAAAGACGTTGGCGAGTTTTTGCTCAGAATTGGGTATCACTTTTGTCCCCGAGAGAGACAGATAATGCCATTCCACGAGCTTACTGAAGGAGGTTTCTGAAGATGGCTTCTATGCATTTTGTGGGATAGTACAAGTCTACGACTTCTATCGCAATGGGCAGAAGATACAGCTAATGTCAGCGTACTATTCTCCCATGGAGATCATTTTGGCATACCACTGCAGTAAGTGAACCTTGTTTCTTGTTTTCTATTCCGTACTGATCAAGGTTTTTTTTCAGCCACGGTCATGAATGTCATCACAGCCACCTACGCTTACTCCCTCTACCCCAGAACGACGTTCTCCCAAAGACGAGGCCTCATCATTAGTACTGATGACTCTGCCCAAGATGAGGGGCGTCAGAAGTACATCGATCGTGGTTGGAAACTCTATGGAACTGACTGTGTTCGAAGTCACTAGTCCTTATTCAGAATTCCAAGCCCACTCCCTCAGATGGGTCGGGGATCGGAGGTGCCTCTCAGTCAAACTACCTCCTATGGAGTTGCATTTTACGCCCTATCCCATCACGGCCAACTCCTGGCAGATCACCTGTGGTCGGAATTGCAGCATTGAGATAGAATATGACAACCTATATACCAGGCATTTCAGCTTCTGTGTATTCCAGGGCACCTAGATCTGTCAGCTCTTAAACAAGTTCGAAGATTGTTGGGAGGTCGCCCGTACCGAAGGCAGATTGCAGAGGTACGATGTGTTGCACTCTTAGTGGATTTGTACTGATTTATTATCAGTGAGGACGCCGTCTTTGCCGCTGGAAAGATATTACAAACGCTGCGCTTCGGTCAGTTTAACTGATGCTGCACTGGAATGGCTTGGACCGGATGTTTCTTCGGAGATGTTGGAAGATATTTTTGAAGGTCCCCATGATTCTTAGACGAAGCTCGTAGCACTGGTTGACCCACTTACCCCAGTCTACTCAGCTCACGGTCCAGAAATGCTCGTAAGTTTTCAGTGTCCGAATTATTCGTATATGACCATTCCAGCATTGATATATTGACCACCGTACTTTGACTGATTAACTTCTTGCATCGTTATTATCGGACAGAATGAAGTGTTGACATTGACTTGAAGCATCAGGCCAGGCCCCAGGCATTAAGATCAACTCACTACTGAGGCCGACGTAGAATGGCTTGAAGCCGCTTCTTCTCTGCTCAGCTTCGTAAGCGCTGCTTGCGGTCTATTAAGCTCTCTCCACCCTTCGGTAGGGCTATCAACAGCGAGGTACACTGGGCAATGCTCTTATGAAATCACGAAGAAAATACTAGGGACACACTCTGTGGTAACATATGCTGAGAAGAATGCAACGATGGGAAAGAGTAGCATGATGACAATATGAGTACAAGAAATCAGGTACTAGAAGAGCGAACAGGATATGCATGTGGTAAAATCAAACAAGTTGAACGGAAAACAAAGAAGCAAATCGAAAGCACGACAAAATGGTATATGAAACTATGGCTCTACACGCCATAATGTAATTAATCATGATTCAGCGCAAGAAACGCTGGTTCATATCCTTGTTCAAAACACGAACGTTAAAGACTACACTGGCTACCCGCCGATGTTCGACTTACCAACGGACAAAGGCTAGAGAACTAAGGTATCAAATGATGGATGAGCAGGGGTCGAAGAATGCACTAGAGCAGGAGACGGACTCACTTGAGGGTGTTGAACTACCTTTGAGGGGTTCTGCTCCCTCTTCCTCCGCTCTGTTACTTTTCTCGAGTTGACTTGGACAGTGGCGCTAAACAAAAGAAAGAAAGGATCAGCCGCAACCGCAGCTGAGACAGAACGGAGAGCGAACTTTATGGAGATACTTAACTCCTTCAGTGTTGGTTCGGGATCAGTTTCTGTAAAACTTTGAGATTAAGAAGGCAAGCGGAAGGAGAAGCTACCCACGCAGTGCTGACATTATGGCCTAAGAATGAGTCGTTCAATGAGAATTAAAACGAATACTCTGAGAAATAAGCTTACTCTGGATAGTGCGCCCCCCTTCGCGCCTCCCCATGCCATTTCCTCATCCCTGCATGCAGATATGCACACCTAGAGAGAAATACAAGTTCATCGGGTGACACAACATCGAGCATGTTAATTGAACGACTTACAACGTATCCCGGCCCTCTGCGATCACTTATCAAGCAAAATCCCCTGCAGTCCTCGATGGGCGGGTCCAAATGTGAGGCGGCTATGAACCTTTCGACTGTACGGGGGCGGAGGAGGTTCAAATTTACGGAGACATCTGAGGCAACTACGCAGACGTAAACGTAGAGTCCGGATTATGCGAACAAATGACGGACTAAATCTGTATAAACGACAGACTGAGGCCGAGGTTAGAAGTATAATGCATATACGAAAACTAGTGCATACAAATCATTGTCCATGACGTGCAATCATTGCAGCGGTAGTGGGAAAGATCTGGGAAAAATGTTATACATAGAGTCGGAAGCGGTATGGGAATTGGACATATTGGGCCATACCGAGAACGGTACCGCTGTGGCAGCAGTCAAACACAGCCTGTAAAATGCGGATTCACGTAAAATGCCGATGTGGTAGGTGATGTGGGTACTTACAGTCAGTTTTGCGCCAACAGCAGCCAGAGGCATGACCAGGATATTCTTGAGGACGTCGTCAACGATCATCGCTCCTTCAATAAAGCCGTTGGGACCAACAGCGTCACAAGGGACGACATCTGAAATAAATATTAGTTCAGTGAACCGGACGCCGGTGAACGGATAATCTTTGCCTACGTTCATCTTTCTTGTCGGCTTCTGTACTGTTGGCGTTGAATTTCTGGTACCCATGGCCCCCGTCTGGAAGATTTCAACACGGCGTTCGACGAAGCGAAAGGAAGGACTGACAGAAAATAAAATGGATGTCACCGGCGGAAGCACCTTGAACGAAACGGTGGATTTCTCTCTCCTAGGCAAGGATGGGTCGGTTCCATATTCGGGAGGAGAGCCTTAAGGACGTACGATGTTTGCCTTGGTAGGCCAAAGGTAGGGCGAAGTCTCGAGAGCATCCTTCATGATAACGATGTCGTCCTTATCGAAATACATAGTGCCTGTAAAGGGAATGTTAGACCAGATCTCCTCTGGATCCGGCTGGAGCATACCTATGAGAAGGTCGCGAAATTTATCAACGTCTACATGGGTGCCTTTCATCTGGTCGTCCTTCCTTGACGCGAATTGTTCCAGATCGTAGGTGCAACCGATGAGCAGGGCCTTTCTGGTCACATTTTTCCTATCGATGCAGCGGGAGCCTAAGATGCCAGAGGGAGGTGGTAAAGGACTGAAGGGACGTAAACGACCTGGTCTAGAAATCATGTAAAGGTCGTCTAGACGGAACGACGAAGAGGAAATAGATGAGTTGTGGTAGTGGATCGAAAGAGACGCAATGACCTAGCCCTTTTCTTGGAACTTAACAGCGGGAAGTGTGTCGCCGTCGGCGGCACATCCTGGGAGGCGGGGGCACAAAGCACCGGGCGTGTCCGAGCAAGCTGTTTTCTCGGCGTGCGGTGCGGTCACGACCGGGACTTCTGCATTGAGTAAAAGACAGTTGGGGGGCCATTGTCAACGAAATCTGGGGGGAATGAGATACGGCCAGGACCTGGCGGTAAAGACGATGGTAGAGACAATAAAAGGGAGACGTTCGGGTGTGGAAGATTTAGTGGGGCTCCATCAACACTCCCGCGATGCGACGTCCCTGAGGCTTCCCGTCATTGTCAATGCACAAATGAGTATACGACCTCTCTTCCTAGAGGACATAGTTTTATCACCGAACAGAAAGAACCATTCATTCAATGAAGATGGCATCATTCAAGTTCCATAGATGCCTGCCGTACTGTAGCACTCACTGTTACAGGGTCCTGAGTCGATCAGATCGCGATCCAATGTCCACGATCCAAAGTTGTAAGATCAACTAGTAACCGGAGAATGTACTGGTGCCAAAGCGAAAGTATTCAAGTTGTACATGAGGTATCTCAAATATTTCTGGTGGCCTGATCAAAGGCCTTTGGCCCAGACAGTGACCTAGAAAGTACGAGACAAAATATAGATGAATGCCAGTGGGCCAGGACATTCTATCAGCATCCAAGATGCTTCCTTAGAAAGGATGCTCATCTAGCGTCAGAGATACAATAGCAATAAGAGCACAAACAGACACCAGGACCCCCTAGATCTCCTAACAGAGCCCCCAAGGAGAAGACATCCTCCGATAGAGCGGTCGAGGAATCGGCGACCCGCTACGGAGATGCACCTCCATAAAAAGCGCAGTGTTCGGTGAGCACCAGTAAGTACTTCAACCACATTTTTCTTGTTCGATGAACCCGGCAAAAACGGCAAGAAGTCGTGACGCGCTAACGCCTCCGCCAATCATGTAACTGGGTTGACGTACGATCACTTTCCGAATCTTACTCGACGTCCTCTGCACTGGTGGATGGCAACCATCATTTTAACCCTTCTTTCCCTCACCTTTGGCCATTCTCTAAATTTTTCTCATACGTCAAAAGGCCCCGTGTCCTGGTATGAATCTGTCTGATCAAACTTCTTTTCCTCCACTGCCGCGTTTCACATTGGATTTGTGGAACAGCAATGGAATTTTTCTAATTTTTTTTGGTGCTGTCGTACGCAATGAGTCATGCATATCGGAAGAAATTACTGTCTCAGTACTTGGTGTTCATGCCCAGGCTCCACCCACGCGCATGATACCCGATGTCCTGCTCTAATTGAGGATTCCGTTTTACCGCTACAGAAAGTGAACTGAGGAGAGCATCCCAGATCCCACGTGAAATTGACTGACATATGGTTCGATGGAAGGGCGAAAGATAGACTAGAGATACAGAGCGTGGTAGGGTATAGTAGGTATCGATTATGTAACAATGCGAGAACGAGGATGAATGTGCGTAGCAGAACAGAAGAGCGGATGCTAAGTTTATACATGGAAAAATACAAAGCAAGAGAAATCAACAAAGCGGGGACAACACAAAGCAGTTTGATAACGAGCAGATCAACGTATTGTAAAACGATCAAACGCTTAAAGCAGAAAACGTTGTTCGTTCATGTCCTTGCATAGAAACATTCAGCAACAACGTAAGAGCTCAGCCTATGAAATTTGACATACCAAGGGCCAAAGGCTAGAGAACTGCGATCAAATGAATGAAAGGACAAAGCCGGGTAAAGTGGTGACTCACTTGAGGATGTTGAGCAATCTTTGGAAGGCTTTCCTTCGCATCCTTGCCCCTCCGTTTCTTTATTATCGCGTTGACGTACACTTTGACTCTAGCGCTAGAAAACATTCAGTACCGAAACGGGCTAAATCAGGCGAAGAAACAGACCCTATGAAAATATTCAGCTCTTTGAGTGTCGGATGGTGGTCTTGATCTACAAATTCCTTCAGGAAGAGTAGACATTTGTAAAGAAAGTACTAACGTAGTGCTTGGATCAGAGCCTTGGGGGAAAGCATGTTCAGTGACATTAGAGGACAAATATTATCAGCGATCTTACCCTCGTCAGCGACCCTCCCTTGTTGCCGCCCCAAGCGAGCTCTTCGTCCAAACAAGCCGAGATGCAGATCTAATGAGGGGCATTGAGTCACCGGATCAGCGTTACAACAGTATGACGTACGACGTATCCGGAGCCTCTACGCTTTGGGAGCAAGCAAAACCCTTCGCAGTCCCTAATGCACGGGTCCCAGTTTGAGGTGATACCGGGCGCGAACGAGTTGAGCGTGCAAGGGACGATCAGGCTCAAGTTGACAGACGTCTTTGAGAAGACTAGGTAAACGGGATCATTAGTTGGTATGTCATGGTGAATTGCGGATGCGAGACGAACTGTGTCTGTATAAACGGAGGGCTAAAGCGCTCTGGTAACAGACAGTTCTTCAGATGGGCGGAAGAGATACGCACCAGTCCTTTTCCAGGCTGTGATATCGTTACAGCGATAGTGTAAGAGATCTAGGCGTATTTCCTGTGATTACTAACAATACAAGGGTAGTCGGGGGATGAACATACCGAGAACTGTACCGCTGTGACAGCAGTCGAAGACCGCCTGCCTCGTAAGACAGATTAGGCTGTTAAGGCAGACGATGAGCAGGAGACTCACGGTCAGTTTCGCATCCACGGCTACAAGAGGCATCACTAGCATGTTCTTGAGCACATCGTCGATGATCAATTTATCCTCCATGAATGCACCATCAGGATCGATGGCGTCACAAGGCACAATGTCTAAAGAAAAGAGCATTGCAGTGAAGTCGGCACCATTGTACAGTCGTGACACATACGCTTGTCACGCTTGTCCGTTTCCGGGCTGGAGGGGTTGTAGATCTGGTGTCCGTGCCCGGCATCTGGGTGTAATGAAATGAGACGTTCTTTCAACCAAGGGGGACGAACGACGTGCAGAATAGAAAACAGATATCGCCGGACGAGGTCCCGCCTACGAAATCACTGATTGCTCTTTCCTAGTGTGAGAAGATGAGTCAGTATAACCCTCGGGCGGCATTGTTACTGTGCTTACAATGTTGGCCTTGGTAGGCCATAAATGGCGGGGTTTATCTGGGCCGTCAGTCAGCACAGTAATGTCCTCCTTCTTGAAGTGTAATGGGCCTGTGGAGGGTTACGCTAGATGAAAGGCTAGCGTCATAGGCGGTCCGTACCGATGAGAATGTCATACATTTCCTTAACGTCAGCGAGGGCGCCCGGCATCTGGCTCTCTGGCTTCGACCTATATACTTCCGAAGCATAGCTGATCCCGATAAGGAGGGCCTTTCGAGCTACAGGCTTAGCCTCCATAGGTCGGGGATTTGGGCAGCAGGCGACAGAGAGGGACGATTGAAGCAAATACTCCAACGTTCGTGAACGACGCACACGAAAATGCATGGGGAAAGGTCGTCCGAATTGAAAGTAAATTGGAGGAGATAAATGAATAGATTATGGAGGCAGTGGATGCTGGAGCGAAGAATTGAGGGTATAAGTCCTGCTGCCGTTAACAGCTAACAGCAAAGCCGCGTGACAAAGACGGCATTGCCAGAGAGAGGAGGTGAAGTTGGGAGAAGGTGAAAACCTTGGCCAAGCCCGCTAACAAATAGGAAGATAGACGTTTGGTCCGACGCACAGCCATCCCGAACCAGCTGTGAAGGCGGATCAAACAGAGTGTGTTGAGCGACTACGTTGGGAGAGTAGGACATCGAAGAGCTTTCCGAATGCCCATCATGGGGAAGAGGGAAAGTAGAGAGAAGCATAGATGCGGAAGATTGAGTGGGAGGGGGGTGCTTTCATCGGTTCCGTGAAGCAAGGGGCAATTGAACGCTTCCCACCAGGGACAGTGACACGACCGCATGACTAGGGGAACCAGTTATTCAATAATCTGGGTCTATCGGCGATAACGAAAATCCTTTGTAACGTGGTATCACGCTCTATGATCCTTCTGTACCTGGGGTTGGAGGACCTGCTGACGTTCAGATGGTGGCCCATTTGGTGATGACGGGAAAATCCAGATAAAAAGTCAAGGTTGAAATTTAAATGCGCTATTTTTCCAGCCTGTTTGCTTACCCGATGAACGTAAGCGAGACACCAAAGAGCAACATTATCGACGTGGAAGGACATCGGGCCCGTATGCAAGCTTAGCTTTTGGATTTGACTGGGATTGGCTGCTAGTCAGATTCATGTAAAACGCGTTCCACCTGCCTGTAAAGAGTAAGAATGTCTGTACGATCACGATCAGAGCACCACGAACGCCCATAGTTCTATACTTGATCCTGCGATCCCCGGTCACCTTTACCGTATGAAGTGCCAGATCAGGGGGCAATTAACACAACTTTTTGTCCCTTTCTCTGGCATCCGTCTTACGGAGAGGGCGAGATGGGCCATGTGGGATGCGTGTCGATCAATTGGCAATTTCGAAAATCAATATGGCACGTGTCGTTGCTTTTTCTTTGTTTTATCCCCCCACCACAATGACCTGGACCATCATTTCTCCTTCTCTACTCTCACAATCGTCCATCTTTTCTCTCATGGGTAACTGGTCGACTCGTGTAATCAAGCTCTGTAACCATACGGTTCCATTTTTAGCAGATCTTCTGCGGTTGGATCAACATTCTACCGGTGTATTCCGTGGGTGTGAGTACTGTCGATATATTTTCACAAGAGGTGTTTGATCCCCATTGCCTGGAGCAGATGTACACAAACATAATTTAGGACGTGCTTGTCCCCGTACTGAGTACTGACATAAGTCTAATTGCCGCGATAAGACGTGAAGTGCTTCGTCTCATCGGGCCGCTGGTGTATTAAACACATATATGTCAAACAGTGCGGTACGGTCGCCGCAGTAGAAGATATTCCTTGACGATTGCAGTCCACAATGATGACCCAGTCGCGTCTTGGTTTCTTTTCTCTGCATCCTATGATTGACCTCCGCGATGAAGGATGGGTGCAATCCATGAAACCGATAGCATTTTTCTCTCAAGATATCGCATCGGCGACACTCTAAACTCTATCCCAAAAATGGATGGTGTGTCACCTTCACGCATTCCATATCGCAAACGGAGTCTGGTTCACATCTATCGCAGCAGTTTTGAATTGGTGTACTCGTCTTAGACTCCGGAAACGAATGCATACACGTGCTAATCATACGCAGTGACTCACACCTATCACCGCGACTTCACTTCCACATTTCGTAATCCACCATGGCATTCACAGGAGAAACGCAGCTGGCGGCCATCGATACATACCTTGCCGGTCGTGCTACTCTCGGAGCAACGGTTGAAGCATTGACCCAGTGGGCGTACGAACCCAAGCGCTTCGGCGACAATGCGGAAGGTGGGCTGTGGGATCTATGGAGTGCGATCAACGATAGGGCGGAGGAGACGAAGAGCGACGACAACATCGCCCATGGCAAGCTCGTTGAGCTAGTCGATGCCATCAAGCATCAAAGGTCTCCGACGAACGATGTGGGGGAGAAGTCGAGATGCTGGGGGTTGACGTTGTGGAAAGACTTGCCCGTCTTTGGTGCAAACATGAGGGAACATTGGAACTGTGCGCTTCTGGTCTCTGGGGCTTTCAAGTTACTGACTTTTGTATGTATCCAGTCTTCGATGCGAACGAGGATGTGGAGCGAACGCCGAAGCGGGAACGATGGGTTAATCTCAACGCGTTCGTCGCAGGGTTAACAGCCGCTCGGATCCATGACTTTGAGTTGTATGCCCTTTGGCAGCTGAGAGATGCCATAGAAGAGCCAATCGAAGAGAGGGAGGGGGAGGGGGGAGAAAAACGGATCGACAAGAGCTTTGACGCCAAAATTCCCGCTGCTGTTCAATGGATCCTCTACTGTGGGGAACTGATATGCACCAACGAGCGGGAATTCGAGACCGGCCCTGGTGTTGGAGATCCTGCGAGAGGCGGCGAGCTGTGGAAGGGTGAGAAGAGAGGCTTTTGCCAGGAGAGATGGCAGTTTTGGAAGAAAAGGTTCGCGGAGCTGCGAAATTTTCAAGGGCTTCTGCCAGAGACAAGGGAGCTGGCCGGTAAGGCGGTTCAGGTGATGGACGCTATCGAGAAAAAGCATCACGATTAGATATCTCACCAGGAAATAAATCATTAATATGTATTTTATTTAGATAATCCAGGTTTATTATATAACCATCCTCTCTTTACTTTGACCACCACAACTAATGCCTGGAATTCGTACCCCCAGCGCCATCAGCATGACTCTATGAAGGCGCACTGCGTATCCAATCGACGACGGGAATTGTTGAACGCGGTCTCTTCAGTGGACACTATAGCGTCTAGGTGTATCTTAACGATACTACTACAGGGTTGTAGCATTCAAATCGGAACCACACATTCTTGCCGTTCGTTCTCTAGTGAGCATGCTATGAAGGAGCCGGTGCCGCTATTATCATTGACCTGGGGTTGAATTTTTGCGGCTGTGCCCTTGCTAATTCTGCGAATATATGCTCGCACAGTGCGTCGATATTCTATTTGTACCTGCACAATTCTAAAGCATTTAGCTAGACTACAATGGGACTAACCGTCCTTCGACGATGACCCTGTTCACCTGAAGTTTGGTTTCCCTTCTCAGTATCACCACCGACATCTTTCTCGCCCAGCATCGAATTCGTTCAAGTACAGTCATATCCTCGAACTTCACCTATGTAAACAGATGAGAGACACCGGGGGCTCGACTCGTTGCTGCTAAAAGCGGCTAACGCGGTAATCCAAGCCGTCCTGCAGCCTGGCTGTTTGGCGGACGAGACCGCGTAAGCAGGTCAACAAGAACCTGTTGATAGACCATTTGGATCATCCCCTCTCCAATGCGTTTGCCAACGGTCTTCCTCATTGGCGGTCGGCTCGCCAGGTAGTCGATACGTCACGTCTGGAGTAAATGCCGAGATAGCGGGAACATCTTCCCTTTTCTCGACCTTATCTTCACTAATATTATCCACAAGGATTGGGATCGTACCAGTTTCATTGTGTCTTGGTCTTCAAGGGTGTCGACTGGCACAACACGGTTCTGTGGAGGAGCGCGTTGCATGCTGGTGAAGCCATCGACTGTTTTCTATATGCATTGAAGAACTTGCGCCGAGGTCCGGGTAACACGGCGGTACAGGGCTCGTTATCTTTCTCTTTAAAATTGGCGACTAGCGTGCATGCGCTCCTTCATGTCCATCACCAGTCAATACGGATGCCTTACCTGGATCGAAAAGTTGAGACTATTTGTAGTCCTGACTGCCTTGAGTATGTTTCTGTCCGTTCATCAATCCGAACTCATCTCACGCTTCCTATCAAGTGGTTTATCTATGCGGGAAATCTCTCACTGTATTGTTTTCCTTTCGGCGAAGCAATGCCCTCAAAGTCATCTTGGCGCTTTCAGGGTGTCAGCTTCTAATGGACTACTTGAGTCTGCGTCAGTTCCACTACTTGTCGCCGAGAAATTTGGACCAGTACTGTAAATGGGTGAAAGAACGGGGCCCCCCTATCAAGATCGAAGAGCTTCCAGCAAAAGGTGCCAGCTTGATGTGGATTGGAACACAGCAAACAGACAACGTTATCTTCTACTGCCATGGTAAGTGTTGGCTGTGAGATTTTCGGGGGGCACATAATCATCGCATCCCTCGCTTGTAGGTGGCGGATATGTCCTGCCAAGTTCTCCTGGCACGTTTGCTTTTTGTCTGTATGTGCAGCAGCAATTGGAGGCAAAAGGTATCCAGGCAAATATCGCCCTTCTGACGTACAGTAACCAAACATACCTCTTCTCTCAATTACCCTCTAATACTCTCCCCATGCAGACCTTATTCCGGCCGTCAAATTCCCCAGTCCATTGTGTGAAGTCATGTCCGCGATCCATCACCTCCTTAAGTACGGTATCAAATCCGAAAACATCAGGCGTTACCAAGGCGGCAGCCACAAGACGATAGCCGTGGTTCATCTGGGGCGAGTTCGCTGCTGTCAAGTTTCAAGGCGCCTGTACATGTGCTGCAGAATGATGACGAGGAGGACAGTATTGACGATAGGATGCTGGTGATGCCAATAGGACCAGCTCACGGACATCATCCAAATCCGTCGATATCTGGACCACCGAGTGCGTGGAATGGAGGCACGTTCAAGCCGCGACATCGGAGTACGTTGTCTGGGAGCTCGGGGAAGGTGAAGTCGATGCAGGGTGGTGGTGGTGGTGGCGGCGGATACGAGCCGGTGACGAGCAAGGCGAGGTCGACGATAAGCATCGAGAGTGGGAACGGGGCAGTCGGGCGGAAGGGGTCGATTTCTGTTGCGAGGGGAAGAAATACGAAGTCTTCTGGGGCTGGGGTGGAAGCGACTGGGATTACCGCAGAGGGGTTCTTCACTGCGTCTGTGACACCGCCGCCGGTACCTTCTCTAAAGCCTCGGACGGACTCATGGTGACCTTTTTTTTAACGATATTTTGGATATTTAGACCCGTTGTTATCTGCTTCGTATAAAACGTACTAATCGCATTATATTTACTGTCTCATATACTTTAAAACATGTTAAAGGCTTGTATCTGTCTTCCTTCCGTCGGCAGATCTGGGTACCTTTCATTACATTTCTCGTGTCTTCGGATCAGCGCCCACTTTCACTGCTGTCATTCTTCCGCATGGGCACATTGATGCTAAGACTTTTCACGAAGACATTCATGGCTTTGCAATGTAGGGCTGCTGCTGGAATTTTTGGAGACAATGGTACAGACTGCTCAGGACCGGTACTGGAGCAAATGCTGAGGTCCCGGTATTGTGGGTCCATGTGTGCCAGGGCAACCGTCGGCGACCAAATATGGAAACGGCTCCTCTGCACGTACCTTGATCATGTCGGACTACCGGGATATTATTTCTTCTCCTCCCGTCCTCCTTTTCTCTTCGCTTTCTATCGATAATTTATTCTTGTGCGGACGGCGGCAGCCGTGCGACAGTTCGGAGCAGCCAGTGTTCCATTCGGCCGCAGCAGGCTGGCAAGGTACGTCCGTCGTGGTGTCCCCCCCTCCTCCTATCACTCACGGAAGAGAAAATGCTCTCGCCTAGTTACCCTCAAATATGCCAGTAATCTCTCGCAAACTCATTCGGTTTCTACCGCTAGCGTGCATTTGCGTTCTACTCCTTCTCCTCGGGAATGTGAGCTCGTTTACTGGTGTTCATTAGGAGTGCTGACAGGAAATGGTTGCTCAGTGGCGCCGCTCCCCGGATAGATGGAGTTTGACTGCGACGTACAATGAGGAGGCGTACATGAAGCCGGATGCTGCGTCGGAAAAGAGGGCTGAGATTGTTGGCGCTTTCAAGGTGCGTCGTGTTGCTTCGTTCGTGTGTCTTCTAAAGCCGATTTTTTCTAGCATGCATGGCATGCCTATGGTATGTAATGTTCTCGATGCCTTATACCTAGCTGTTATTGACTTGTGCAACAGAAAGAGATGCAATGGGAGCAGACGAGTACCACCCTCTCTCGCACAAGGGCTCAAATTTCTCCGTTCACGGAGGCATCGGGTACACCATCGTCGACGCCATAGACACGATGTATATCATGGGTCTGAATGACGAGTATGCACGAGCGCGGCGGTGGGTCGAACAGAGTCTCTCGTTTGATAAGGAAGGATCATTTAGCACATTCGAGGTAGGGTGCCGTTCGTTCATTTTTTTACGTGCTAAATATGATTCCCACAGACTACGATCCGCGTTCTTGGTGGTCTTCTTTCGGCATTCACCCTCACTCGGGACAGGCTCTATGTTCATCGCGCCATAGAGCTCGCAGATCGGCTACTACCCGCCTTTGATACCAACTCGGGCTTACCCCTTCCATCTGTCAACCTTGCTCGTCGAGTGGGTATCCCGGATTCTGCGGCGCCTGAAATCATTAGTACTGCCGAAGCTGCGACGTTGCAGCTTGAATTTCGGTATCTAGCTCAGTTGGCGAAGCGGCCTGATTTCTGGCGTAAATCGGAAAAGGTTATGCATGTGATACATGACCTTTTGGACAAGGCGGAGGGTTTGACACATCTTGCGCCAATACTGATGAAGTAAGGGACATCCAAGCATACTTCCTAATGACCCTAACGGCTCGCAGGCATTCCAAAGGCCTTTTCGTGACCTCAGATATACGTCTCGGTTCCAGAGGCGGTTCTTATTATGAGTATCTACTGTGAGTCATCCGTTTCTACCCGGCTGGTGTGACTGACTCCTGGTAGAAAACAATTCCTCCAGACTGTAAGCTTCGCCTTCATAGTTTGGGTTTGGCGTTGTAACATCCTGTCTAGAACCGAACAGAATGGTTGTATCGCGAGGTGTGTCACTCGCCTCCGTGGATAGTACAAATTCCTCACTGTGAATGTAGATGTACGAAAAGTCGACGCGAAGCATTCACACTCGAATGGTGCAAAGAACCTATCGAGAGAAGCTGGTTTTCATCGCGGAACTACACCCTGGCTCACTGCTGTATGTCTTCCTACACTCCACCTTTGTTGGAAGTCTTACCGCCAATTATATAGGCACCCAAAGGTAATACCGAAGCAAGACCATCTAGTATGCTTCTTCCCCGGCACACTCATGCTCGGCGCCGTAACGGGGATCTCGAGGAACCGACTGACCATCCCACCCAAAGTGGAACAAATGTCCGTTACGTCTCAGCGTGACTGGTATCTGGGATTGGAGCTACTGGACTCGTGCATGGAGACCCATAATACAGAGACGTAAGTCCATAAAGTATGCAATGATGTGGGACGGTCATGACCTCATATCGCAGTGGTCTCGCTCCCGAAATTGCGATGTTCAAAATAGACGAGGCAGACAAGGGTAAAGGTCACCCCGAACGGGACTGGTACATCAAAAGTTCCAAGTTAGTCCTCTACTTTTGCGATGCGCTAGCCATCTAATGCACTTGTATTTCAGGAAAGGAGGGCCAGCATCGTATGATGCTAGATATATGCTGCGGTATGGATTACGCTGTTCGTTTCGCGTTCCTTTGATTGATCTACCCCAACAGGCCTGAAACTGCCGAATCCCTCTTCATCGCCTGGCGCCTCACACATGACAGTCGATACAGAAAATACGCGTGGGATATCTTCTCTGCTATTCAGAAACACTGTCGTTTGAAGAATGGTGGGTATGCGACCATCCTAGATGTAGATACCGTCCCAGTGTCGCTAGAAGATAAGCAAGAGACATTTTTCCTGGTGCGTGTTTACGTAACATAAGGGTGTCCAGCTTGTTGACTGCTATGGCAGAGCGAGACGTTGAAGTATCTCTATCTGACGTTCTCGGATGATGATGTGCTTTCGCTGAAAGGTGGGTTATACTTTTTGCGGAAGGATTATTTTTGCTCATCGTTAACGTTGATAAGATTATGTGTTCAATACTCAGGTTTGTCTCTTCTGCGTTCACGTGTATCTGTATGCAGCTAATGAGCGTATACTTAGGCACATCCGTTACCAGTGTTCAAACCCAACGCGGGCCTTAGGCATGCATATACGTAATAGGTACGGGAGGGCCTTATCTGTCAACCTTTATACCGGGATGGATGAGAGTAAATTATTGGTTCCATCAATTCGCTTCGAATATAGAATGGACGGTTGACAGGTGGTTTTCTATCCGGTGTACGTACTACCCTGTAATAGTCTGCTAGCTGTGTGCATGAATACTGATATCCCGACATTGATATGCCGTCCACTCGCACTCTAAATAATCGCGAATCTCAGGTGCACTTGATACCGTTATATCCGCACGGTTAGTCCTTCAGCGTCTGTCGTTTTTGGGATATGTCACTGAGTAAGGGATTTACCAGGGCTGTCTTTGTCTGGCCGACACAATTGTCGTCCATTATCATGTCGTAGAAGGTTGCACGATTCACTGTGACAATGGAGGCCTTTGATCATACGTTACCTTCTTCATTTTTTTTTTTAGTTTCAGTATCGCAACAGATGTAATGCCTTCAAGGTGGCATTTGAAGGTGAGGGGGGTATTTAAATAAAACACGCAGCAAATCAACCTCAGACTCGCCTTTCCCTCCCCCGCAACTTATTGCAACCGCTCTTACAATGTTCTCCGGCCTTTTTCAAGTTACTCGCTGTAGTTCCCCACCACCCCGACCCGCTCCCGCCGGAGGAGTGCGATGCGTTTTCAACGTGAGGACTTTCATAGAAGGCTGGCTTCGCGACAATCCCGACAAGTCTGTAGCGCATTTTTTTCGAACAAGTTTCAACTGGGCTGACGTTCTCTCGTTTTTAGAACATGGCTCGACATGGGATCCGTTGCACCATCTTTGCCGACCAAACAGCGCGTGATGTTTACCTACCGCTGTCAGGACCGTGGGGACTGGTTCGAAATTTTGAGCATGTTTGATGACCATAAATATCGACGCGGATGGTTGGACCCGTATACCGGGAGACAACTTCTCGAGAATGAAACGTGGATCGACAAAGACAAGAAGATATTACCGAGGCGCGTCTGGTGCTTGGGGTGTAAGAAATGTGTGGTGTTTGTCGAGGGGGACTATGATGTTAGAGAGTGGCAAGATCACCGGGATTTTTGCGAGGGGATTACCGGTATGATGAAGATTGAAATTGTGAGGTCACTCATCAGGCAGAATCAGAATCCGGAGGTCCTTTGGCCACCCAATAGTCTGGACCCGATTGTGCTGGTTGGGTTTAGAATGTGACCGCCGATATATAGTAATTTTATTGTATGATAATCAGTGACCTTTCTCATGAAAGTATCTCATCTCTCCACCAAGTGTGAACTCGTTCTTAGTGATGTCCGAAAGATGCGGCGAGAAATGGGTGAGTGGGTGAGGTGCATAAATGTGTCGCGTAAGGCTCGACAACAGGGTGGTCTTTCAGGGTCAAAGCAAGAATTAAATACACAAGACAAAGTAACCATTCTTTGTCCACACACGACCTGTCTTCTACTTCCTTCATTGTCTTTTCTAGCATCCACGTGGCAGCAAAGATAATGGCTTCAAGGCCAATAGGTGCCACTTGCTTGAATGTAGGAGGCTATTTAAGCAACGCGTGCAGATCATCAAGATCAGGTTCCGAGGCTGCCCTCACAATGCTCGCTAGTAGCTTTGGTACACCCCTCATTTCTCAACTCCTCAGAAAAAAGCGATTCGCATTTGACGTCAAGTCATTCATAGACGACTGGCTTCGCGTCGATCGCACCAGGTCTGTGGCACATTTTTTGAACAAGTTTCCAGGCTCACCTTCTCTTAGATCATGGGTCGACATGCACTCCATTACACCCTTTTTGCTGACCAGACAGCGCTTGACATTTACCTACTCTTGTTATGAACGAAGCTCCTTGGTCGAAATTAGGACCATGTTTGTTGACCACACCCTTCGAGGGAGGCTGCACTTAGGCCCAGATACGAGGAGAGGACTTCTCGAGGCTGAGGCATGGGTAGACACTCACACCACAGGATCCAGGCATGTATGGTGCTTGGGGTGTAAAGAACGCGTCGACTTCTTACGGGAAGACTTTGATGTTGGAGCGTGGCAGGAACACCGGGATTTTTGCTGGGAAATTCGAAATATGACGAAGAAAGCCGTTGTGAAGGAGATCATCATGCAGACTCGTCAGACGGAGCTCCTTTGGGCGCCAAATAGTCGGTCACCGCTGTATGATGACGTTGATGGATAATCTTTCTCTGGGATCTTGAAATCATGGTCTATTATGTGGGCCGATTGGGTTGACATTGATCTGTGTGAGATACACACGCTTAAGCAAATTCTTCCCTCTATATCATACTGACCAAATGTTCTGTGTCATTAAACCGAAGCAAGGTCTTGTCATCCATCAGACTCGACCGTGGAAGCACAAAAAGTAGTTCTTCGTCCCAGTATAGGGCATCGGTGTCTTCTTCGATATCGTTTGACAATTTTGTCTTCCACCCCTCTCATGTCTTTGAGGCATGGTTTCGGATTGCATTAGTAGCGTGCAAGGCGAACGATCCACCGTCTTCGCCTGCAACATGGTTAATAAAGCTTACGTCGGATTTTTAAAAAGAAATCTAGCTACTTACTCCATGTCAAAAGGAAGGTTCCTCCGGCGTATACACAGTTTTCGGTATCCTTTGATACCTTATATGCAAAAAATACGTGACAGCCCATGTATAACAATGCCGAAACAAACCTCGAGTATGAGCTTGAAGAATGAGGCGTCGCTTCCGTTCACATAAACATCAATATTCGTATGAGGGCCTCTTACGATTTCCTTCAACTGTGGAAGGCGACGAAATTGGTTACAGCAAATGAAATGAAGACAAAATTGCCTCGCGCATGATTCTCTTCTGACGGTCATTTTGACCTGAACCTACGTGCATAGACTTTGAGGCTTGTTGAACATTCTCATTCAGCTTCGAATGATCTGCTTGTTTGGGGAAGCAATCAATGGTGACTACGTCGATGGGGCACAGTGAAAAATTCCCCAGAACGTTCCAGTCCCAGATACCATGTATCTGAGGAGGTGCAGTCTTTGGTGATCGCTCTATGGATGAGAGCATTGTCTCAAGGTCCTATTGTAGACATTGGCTTCTGGTAACCCAAGGTAACGGAGAGATAAACGACGTACAAAGATGCTGAGAGCGTCGCCAAGTGATGACTGTGGTGCAAATCGATAGCCATTAGTGGTGACTGATATCGCGTGGAGGGTAGTATTGCTGCATATACCAACTTGAATGGAATCTACAACCACTTGATCTTTTTGTAGGGCAATAGCCACGTCCCTGGCGGTAGAGACGGATTTATTGTCATCACCTGTTGTTTGATTAGTTTTCAAGAGTGCGAACGTGTAATTTAGTTACCATCAGAAAGAACTATAATTCGCTTTCGGAGGCTAGGAAAATCCTTCCGATAATCTACCAATGTGCTTCTTGCAGTGTCAATCGCGTCATATAAGTACGTATCTCCTTTGGCATCCACATCTTCTAGTTGGCGTCGAAAATTCTCAAAAATTGGTGTCAGTTCCTGCTTTATGCCAACTGTGTCGGAAACTAGATGAGAAGAATGCTATACATCAGTTTCCTATCCACAATCACGAATCTGTAGGGTAATGTTCACACGTGATAAGCCTCAGGACAAGCGAGACCGGGGGTGTCGAAGGATGCCTAGATTGGGACGTCACGAAAAGATCGACGTAAATAGATCAAACTCACGGCTCGATTCAGGAGATGATTAACGAGCTCCTTGAATACGCGCAGTCGTGTGAGATGTTTACTCTCCTCTTTTGCTCTGCGCTCTGCTGTAGGTCTCCAGCTCCACGTCTGGATCTCCAATTTGTAGGGGTCAGCTTGAGTCTGAGAGACGCGGCCGGTACAGTCGTCGAGGTAGTCAAGCAAAGATCCCCTCCTCATGCCATCTCCGATATCAGTAAGGCCATGCCTGAAGTTAATGCAATTTTGGTTTTTCAAGGAACTTTGAACGCAAATCCCCAGAGTCTCATTTCCGACATAGAAAGCTTATGGAGCTGGTGAAGGTAGCTGAGAATGAACGCAGGGAGCAGAAGCGTTGCGTGGCAGATTCAATCGCTTTTCTGGCTGCCAGACTAGGCAGAACTGTAGGAATCCATCCAGACCCCTTAAATCTGACGACTTTTCCTCGAATGTCCCGGTGACAATCATCGTGAGTGGAAAAAAGGATGATGGATGTCGACGACAAATCGCAGTGATCGGTTGATCGATGACTCTAGTTCTGAGTTTCTGTATGTGACATCGAAGTAGCGCTAGTAGCAATTTTCCAAACTTGAACGACAATACCATAGCACAAAGATGATTACGTTAAGAAATCAACAAGGTAAAGGACTCGTATCATCGAAACAAGAATCTAATTCAGCCAAGGATGTGCCATTAATTGAGCAGCGGTTGGACGGTTCCGTGGATCCCAGATCAGACATGCTCGTAGGAACCGGTCTAAGCCACTCAAATCCAAATGTTTAGCATCAGAAACCCCCTCTACGGTAGTTTCAATGCTACACTCATCCCAATCTTTGACTTTCAAAAGCTCCCCTAGTAAAGATCAGAGATTATTAAAAATGTGATCCAGCACGAAGCGTACCATTTTGACCAAAGAATCTGGGACCATATGTGCAGTCACTCAAAAAACTGGATGGGATTTTACCAATACGTTCTGTAATCTGTTAAATATGCATTGCTCTATCGAAATCCTCTTGCGAAAACAAGTGATAGTCAGCGACCAGCTCAAAGGCCTGGCTAACAGTCAAAATATAATTAATAACACATGAGCATGGACGCACAATGCATCCTACAGCCCATATATCAGATGGCGTCGACCACGAGAACCCCAGAATAGACTCAGGCGGGCGAAATACGGATGGCTGCGAGGACTTCATGAGCCGCTTTCCTGCAGGTTCAGCTGGGGGAGAAGTAAGAATTCAGGAAACGGAAAAAAGGACGGAAAAAAATGCCTTCTCCAAAGTCAATAAGCTTGATGTTCAGATTACTCAAATCAGGGCGAAGATCCATGTCCGGGAGTAGCTGCGACTTGACAGTGACTATGGGTTCTGGAGTGAGTCCAGGAAGACGGAGAGGTTCATAAGTTTCGGCGGGATGCGTTTCGATGTATGACTGTATATCCTTGGAGAGGGATGCTCTGTTGCGGCTTCCTGGTAGTACCGCCATGATATTATTTGTTTTGATGTCTGGAAAAAAAAAATTCATGTTCGAGAACAAAACATTGGCAAGGAACGCACCATTATGGACGTAACCGCAATCATGAAGAAGCTGAAGTGCTTGAAGTGTCTGCCTTATGATGCACTTTGCGACTGGAAGAGAGAACGCCATATTCGGTTGTCTGATCCTAAGATCGAGTATGGAAGATCCTAGGACTTCGGTCGCAAAGCAAGTATGGAGTCCGATTTGACTCTACGTGTCAAAGATTTGGTGGAGATGTAGCACATAGGGATATCCTGGGTGATGACGGGAATTCTGAAATGTTTGCAAGATCTTTGGCTCATGACAGGTTTGACGAGATATGTCCTTAGTAAAATATGTGGTCAGTATCTTGACGGCGGCGAAATACGTCTGAGATGTATGTTTTTCCCTACAGTGACGGCGATTCAGTGATACAGGGTGGCGCACGATTTCACGGAACAGCGTACTCGCAAAGCCACACAGTTCCAGCTGCAGCGTGGCTTAACTGAGGTAAAATGAGACAGAGTTGTCGTAGGGCAAGCAAAAATTCGTACCTTGCGTACGACTCGGAAATTTGGCGAGGGAGAACGTTATAGATATTGGCCAAGAGTTACCGGATGATAGCCAAACCCAAAGGCTGGTTCCACAAAGAGCGGTTCCTCTGGGAATATGGAGAGGTCCTTGAATAACTTCATTGATCTGGGGCAAGTGAGGACTGTTGGGGACAGTAACGGTGATGGTCGATATTTTTTACGAGAGTAAACGTACTACCTGATCGAGAACAATTATTCGCCACACGGGATTTTCCGGGATGATCGAGGTGTTAAGGGTGCATTATGTTCGCGCAAGCTTGGCATCAGCCACGAGCTTGAGCAGCTGCGTCGCCACCAGAGGTTCTTCCTGCTTAGTAGTATTCTGACAGAGGAGCCTGTGTCGCCTTTAGTTACTGGTGATTGAAACACCCAAGCCCGCATTGCTCTTGGCATGAGCGACATCGTCGCCGCACGGTCTAGGACCTTCGTCGACTTCATTCCACCATTGTATAATCTCTCTCACACAGACGGAAGCAGTGGAAGGGTTCTTAATATGTTGATATTCACAGGACCAACCACCACCTTGTTAGCCAATTCATTTAGGAAAGCTCCAGAGCTACGGATCTACACCAATATATGTTCCTGACAGTCCTGACTCGATGACCCGTAGTGGCATCCCTGCGGACGGTTAGCATGTTGCTTGAATCTCTCAAACTGCTTGAGATCTACAGCCTGAAACACGGTGAGCTCGTCGTCCGTGGGGGTGCTCGGTAGTGTATAGATTTCCTAGGTAGTTATTTGTACTGTACGTTACTGGAATTTCTACAGCGGACCATGCCGTGTGATATAATGATGATGAATCAAAAATCCATATGTGAAATATTTCAATATTTCGTCAAGAGTCCAAGGATCTTTTTAGTCCTTACAATTGGAACACAATTGAAAGCAGCAGGGCCCAGATCAAATATGTAGGAATCTTCTTCTGGTGGATTCATGTTGGATTCCCACGTTTCCAGCGCTATCAAGAACCCAGCTAGAACGGAGATGAGCGAATCACCGTTTGAACTAATGTCTACCGTTTGCTGTGGCTCACAGGTGTCGGACATCCCCCTTGCATCTCTCCTAAGTTTTGACAGAAATAAAATGGAATCATTGGTATCATGCTCGTACCGACAATAGAAGTACGACCGTCTAAAACACAACTTGGGCCACATACCATGCACAAGTTTGAGATCAATGTATATGTTAATTTTCCCCGCATAGACAACATTCCCACAGACTTATAGCATCTGTCACTATGGTAAACGTAACGGGACATGACGGGGTTGGGACGGAGGTGCGGAATTACTTTCCATAGACCGACAATATTTGAATCGGCGTTTTTCGTGGACCTTTCCCATCTTCATCTCCCGTGTGCCATAGGTTAAATTTGAGGGAGGCCGCTCAATAATACGGGGCATGGGCAACTAGGATTGGTTTCATGTTTTCCAAGGCATGTATCGCTTGCCTTTCTCAAAACATCAAGACAACAGCGACTGTGGTTAATATGAATAGACACTCTCTAGCCTTCCCGACCGTCATCGCAGCATTGTCTTGATTACCAGAAGCATCGGTGCTGTTAACCGGCGACGACGCAGAGTTGGCCGTAGTCGCCGCAACAGAAGCAGTCTCTGACGCCGAAAGCTGAGTCTCTGTGACTGATTCTGTTAAATCCACAAGGCTAACCGTCACTTGGCTCGCAGTTGCGGCCTCAGAGGTAGGTGCCAATTCCATCGTAGCTATTAGCTATAGGATGAGGAAAGTTTAGACGACTCGGGGGTAAACAGAAGCACACATTCGAAGTTCCCGCCATTAGCTTCCGCATCTTGAACCGCTTGTTGCAGCAGGCTATCGGCGTTATCGGGTACCGTTGACAGGAAACCCACGCGCGGAGGGTCAACCGAAGGATAGGTAAGGTTCCCATAGTGGAACGCTACCAGATTCCTAATGAGCCAGAGGCATTAGTTATGTAAGAAACACCTGGTCTGGGCAATATACATACGATTTAAAGAACGGATCCCCCAAGCTCCAGCGGTAAAGTGATCCCAGACTTGGCGGATCCGTGGAGACAAGGTTGTCCGCGACGCAGTTGGTGGCATCACCAGAGCTCAAATCTCCAATGAAGTCTCTAGGGTCTATGGGGAACATCTGTTTCCGTGTTGAGTAAACTGCAGCCCTACCACAACCCCGAGAAATAGATACCTTGCCACCGATCTGAAATGAGAGCGTATGGGCCGTTGCGCAAGGTAAGATTGCTTGAGAGTCAGCATCCGACGCATTGTATGAGGACGACACTGTTGAAAGAATGTTGTTGACGACGTCCGAGGGTCCACGAAGAAGGGAGTTCCCCTACGGTCATGTCAGGACCCAAAGGTGATGTGGCAGCCAGTAATTAAAAGTAACGAACTGTATCGATCAAGGCAGATATACGAGTATCGTTGACACCATCGGTAGCCGCTTCGGTGGAGTCGGCAATCTTTTGACCATCTAGATAGACACCATCCAAGTCTACTTCCCAGCGGCTGGAGGAAGGTGAGCTTCAGTTGGTAAGCCTAGCATTTGAACTTACAAAGGATACACCTGAAAATGACCAGATCAGTCAGATGAAGCCTAACAAGGGATAGACCTACTTCATTTGGAGCAAACGAAGGCGGTGTAAGTCCTCCTTCACTAGAAGAGTATAGTCTAACAGGTACCCAAGTCAATGACGAGTTGTCAACGCCATCGGGCAGCTTGCCAATAGTAAGCGTGCCATTCCCACCACCAATGTCAATAGTATCTCGCTGAAGAGAAATAGTAAACATAGGCGCTTGCAGAGAAGTTGTCATAGCAACTCGAGATAGTAACGGTCCATCATCAGGAGTCGCCAGGACAAAATTGTCCGTGTCGGAAATGTCCCCGAATTTATCTTCCACGACGGCTTCTTGAACCTTGCTTCCACTAGGAAAGCCCAAACCGAAGATGCCAGCTGCGTTATATTTGACGGTGGGATTCGTAGTAGCATTGACAGCGACAAATGTTTGTCCAGTCATGGAGATACCAGCAATTGCGATCGTTTCAAAAGCTATAGGTCCAGAGGCTGATGTTCCGGTGGTAGAGTCGCCATAATTCATGGTGACCTCGACGCCAGTCAAGTTTAACGTTGAAGAATTGTATCGCGTTGTGGTCGCCGATGAACACGTTCCACTGCTACATGCGTCGGTGATTACCCACAGATCACTGGATCCTGTGTCTAGAACAAATTGGCAATGAATGAGCTTCTACGATCGACGACGCGCAGTGGGGGATAGTTGAAGCGCGCCCACCAAGGTTCACAGCGGTAACATCATCTCCAAGCTCGATAGGAACGGTGTATAAGCTGGCGCAAGCAGGTTTGTTGCTTAGCACTGTAGACAAACAAACGATCACTCACAGATCGGAATTATCACCCAGCCCAACAGACCCACTAACATCACCCCGTTCGCCAAGCGTGTTTTTTCGCTTGCTATTTCTTAAAATTGGCAGTTCGAACCCGCCAGGACGTTTTGTCGCCAAGCAAGGTAGGTATTCCGCGGGTATTGTCACAGCAAATGACGTGGCGGTAATCGAAAGCCAGAACAAAAGGAGAGAATGCATGAAAAGAGCGCCTGCGCTGGCTGGACGGCAAACAAAGAAGGAAAGGGTCTCTGACCCAGTAGAGATAAAAAGAAAAGAAAGAAAAGTCTGTATTCAACGACTATTCGGACGTTGGCAACCTGCCACGAGGGACGATCATCAGGAACCGGCTGTGCAGGAAGCCGGGGATAACGGTCGGGACAACGGTGTACAACACAGAACTCGCCGCGGTTATCTTCGCGAGAGGGTGCTGCAGTCGCACACTTTCTATACCGATCGAATACCCATCTCGTTTGTAATAAATACAGCTTGATTGCATTGTTCTCCAGAATCGGCTCAAATTTATTGATTCAACGTAAGCGCAGTCGTATGGGTGACCGATACCAAGAGCGCGACATGGTGGGCTAATAGCGCCGTACTTTGGCAACTTGAAGTCGAAACCTTACTTTGACAAGTATTGAGGTACCAAGACTCATGTCACCTCGGCAAGAGGCCAATGATCCGGACGACGTCCTGTGGATTTTTTTCCTCGGCATCGCTGCGCTTTGTGATCGTGTAGCCACAGACGATGGATAGATAAACCATGACCACCGCCAACACCGAGGCGAATCTGTGAGTAATAATCCAGAAATAATAGTTTGTCTAGTATAGTCGATACAAAATGTGCCTTATATATAGTAACTTATGAATAAACCGATTAAAGCCTCGTCGACAAGAACGACAGCTACAAGTAGCATTTGTACATAGGAGATGATGGTGTCCAACCCACTGGTCACGGAAGAGAATAAATGATATGAAAGCCACCAGAAGAGGGGGGACTTACCACATTGCCAGCACTCCAGCAGTCTATCTGGGTCACTAAAACACACGTTATAAGAGGCAGACATCGAGAAACGATAGACGGGACGTACTACTTGTGCTTTATAGACAACAGTCTGTCATAGTTGGTCCCCCAAAAAGCAACTGAATTACAACGAAGGTTGTTGGTCTTTCGCATGAATGCTAGCCGGAGGAAAACTAACCTTCATGATTTGGTTCATATACGTCAGCTTCGTTCTGAAAGTCTCACATGTTAGCCTCAGTGTACGAATGCCTAATAATATACAAATGTACCACATATGCTGCGTCAGGAGTGATTTTTCGCAGATGGTCAATCGCGTTGCTGGCCAGTGAATAATGACCTTTCTTTGCTTCCATAGAGGTATCCCAATTCCACGTTGAAACCAGCGTAACGTGGAACAAACTATCTCTCCATGCTTCGGTTACGCTGGTGTGGCCATCGCCGGGATGAGACGAAGGCGCCGAAATAAGTATTATCACCGAGCCTGTAGCATCGTTTGCAGCCGTAAGCGCCGACACCAGCTCTTTCTGGCTCGACGGCGTCTCGAAGTTGGATTTATTTATTAGCCGGGAAGTCAGCGCTAGTGGTATTCCGACGCGCTAGAGAAAGTCAAAAGATTAAGAAACCGAATATCGAAATAACGAAGACTAATCGTACCGCCACATATTGGCTAGAAAACGTGGTAAAGAACGACGACCAAGTTGGGAAGGTCGTCACCAGCGTCTTCGCACCGGGAACTTTTTGAGCGACTAGTCGCTGACCAAATTTGATCAGCGGAGCCATGGACTGAGCAGCTGCTTGGGCGTCGAGGCGCGGGTTGATGTAAATGGCAACTCCCTTGTTCGAGATACCACCCCAGCCTTCCTCTGCCCAACGCACTGAATTCTCGGCCATGATGGTCCATAGTTCTCCGGTGAGACTGGAATTAGCGGCCGGGTCGAACGTTACGATGATCGTCTCTAGTTTCACCGGCGGCGACGCCAACACCGTGCTTTCGAGTACCACACCAAAAGTCCCGCCGCCACCTGTCGCCGGAGGTGGGAGTTTACGATCAACGGAAGAGCGAAAGCCGCGAATGCTCACCTCCTCGGAGCGCGTAGAAAAGGTCCTGGTTTTGACACGCGTTGGCAATTCTGTATCGTCCATCCGGGGTGACGACCTTGAACTGAAGCTACGGAGGCGAAGGATGACAAATCAGGGATAGAGAATCCCGATAGAGGGATGAAGCTTACCACGCGATCGACGCCTAGTCCCATCGTATTTGAAAGCATGCTGTGACCGCCGCCCTGAAAAGCTGTGAAACTCCGATGGATACTGAGCAAGAATAATAGGCTCGAACCATCAGCCAACCACCGGACGCCCCCACAGATCTATCTGTACCTACGGACATTCAGGAATTGCGGTGACTCCGAGACGATCTAGACCTACCTCCTACGATGGTGATATTATTAGTTTCCGCGAAGGCATAGGCCTCGTACCATTGCACACCAGCCTATTATATCGATCAGTTATAGTTGAGATGGTGATGCAAACAAAACTAACCCCGAGTGTCACTGCTGGACGTGCTGACTCTGGATGCTTACAGCCTTCAGGAACGAACTGATGATTATACGATATCTAGATGAACGTTCAATGGCTGCTCGGCCTTCAGCGCGTATCACGTACATGCTTGAGATTATGTGTCTGGAAATTTTATTGAATAAACCTCAGTACAATAGATTCGGCATAAAGACGTACCCAGATTCCGAGAGTATTGGGCGCGCTACTCCGTCCCTTGTAATCGTGCTAAACCATCATGAGTCATCGGTTGGATGCAACGATCAGATGATCTCACTCCAGTATTCTTTACTACAAGTGGAATTTTGTGGGTTTTCGAGAATTCAAAAGCAACTGAGATGTCCCTCGCGGAATGCACATCAAGCTAGGGCCGCTACAATTCAGGAACAAGCCGTTCATCAAAGTCATTGGCACCTCACATAATAATTTGACACACTGCCCATTTGACATTTATTCGGCGCCCCTATAGGCCTGGTGCTAGTCGTATTCGTATAGTCGAGGAGGCACTGTTCGCCAGTGGCCTGACAACTCTCCCACTGGGCGTTGATGAAAGCGCCCGGTCGGTTTGAGCGAAACACTAAGATAACGACCATCATATGAGAGGATAAACAACTTGTAGCGAATATCGACGCGTACCTTCATCCAGATATCCATGTTGTATCTCTGAACACAGCGCCGATGTAGCGTCTTCAACGCAAGGTTGGGCAAGAGGCGCGCCCGAAATGAGGCGACCGCCGACGGACGCGTTCAAGGAGCTCCATGGGATGTCACCGCCAATCGACCAGGGTTCCTGAGGAAGTGTTGCCGTTACCATTACATGGCCGGCAGCTATCACGGAAAATAAAAGGGGGAGCATGGGTGGGCTACTGAGTTGAGGGTATATTCGTTGAGCTCGTCGTATTTATATACTTAGCAGCTCCACGGGACCGGTTTCTCATTCCAGTGTAAAACGCGCGGCAATTACAGATCATTGATCCGTCCCCGCTATAAGTAAGGAACTTCATATCTTAGATTAACCGGAAATAAGGACCTTCGTTCACAGCGTTGATCGATCTAGGGAAGGCTAAGCAGTTCAATGATTCAAATGAAAAACGCCATACCGGATACTCTAGAGCTAGGATATACGCAAGTAAGGGGTATCAGGTCTGGCTCCGTCCGATAAAAATATCAAGGCGGTTAAACCAACTATGCGCGGCGATCGTTCCGAATGAGATCAAACGAGTACGAATATTCGAATGTTCATATAATTACCGTCAGACGCGGAGGATAATAGAGAAAGGCTCGGCATTAAGCACACAGGAGAGAGTATCTCTGGTGGATTCGCATCATTACGATCTTGCGTGGCATAGCATGGCGTTGCAGCTGACTCGACCTCATCGCTCTCAGATATCAACTGCCGCTGTGTCGAACTGGAAGCAACAAATGTTAGATCCAAGGCTGTGTATGAAACACAGGAAATTTACAGCTTTGATTCTCCAACGGCATTGGACTTCAATCTGCTCGATAACATTAGCGTTGCTTCACGGCGGGGCAGTGAGGAGGGAAGAAGATGTTCGGACATTTTGGGACGACGACGAGAACCACAACAAGCACGTGATGATTACACTACCACTTTAGGAGAAGACATTTTCGTCGCCGACTCCTTTCCCGGCCGGTGTTCAAATGTTCAGGGTACCCTTTCCGATATGCTCAAGCCCTAGGTCTAAACTATCCTTCTTGGGAGAGCTTAATCACCACGCCATGCTACACCAGCTACACCATTCTGCCTTTGGAGACCTTAAGGCCTTATTCCAGAGGTCATTTAGAACACCATAAAGAGCCAAGGCTTCGGTCATACTGCGAGGCATTCGAATTGTTTGTTCCTCGACTTCACCGTGTACGTCGGATCCAGGCTCTAAAGTGCGGAATTTTTATTCGGTTCTTCGACTCTAAATGCATGGACAAGTTCAAAGTAAGGAAAAGAGCAAGGAAACAGTAGCAGAAGCCTCGTCCCGGGTAAAGATTAAACAAGGGACTTTGTGAATCGTACATCTATCATTGCGAATGTCTCGGGTTGCTAATGTCATTGGAGATCGTGTTGAATGGGAACCAAGGGAACGATGGCTAAAACGTATTACCGAGACATTTAGCAACGATCAAGGGATGGCATCTTGAAATGGGGAAACGGTAGAGTCTCTGAGGAGTCAGTCATATACAAGGATCAAGAAAGCTTATCCACTATTGCAGAGTGACTGCGTCAAGCAAGAAAGTACGAGGACGCGATACGTCTGAGCCTGTTTCGTATCCGACACCTATTTCTGCATGCTAGGTAATTGACCATGCATGATATTGTGAACCTTTGCTCTTACATATTTGTTCCCCGACAGGAACCATCCACCTATATATATATATTTCTTTTGTAGACTCAGAAAGGGAGACACCAGATGATCTAATGGCGTTCTGCGATGAACAGATGACAAAACATCCGATAGACCAGCTGTAGCGAGATCAGCCACCGCCATGCATAGGATGCAGTATTCCTTTTGTTGGATCCTATGGAGTCTAATATTAAAAGTGCGCAGAAGGTGTTTCGACAGTTGTAGATTTCTCCGAGTCCCTGATGGCAAGCAGTCAATTTATCCCTTCACCTTGATTAGGGTAAAATGCTGTGCATGCGGCTTTATATTGAGCTTATTCCACCTTTGGGTGCATCTTTGGACAGTTGGGATAAGTGGGATTTAATGTGCATAGGCAGGTACGAAAGGTCCACCAGGAGAATGACATGATATCATACTGTTCGTATCTCGTGGAAGCTCTCGGAGGCAATATTTGTTCTCTCAAAATTCCATCCGCAATACTTGTGTCAAAACACGGAGACAGATTGTGGAAAAAAATCTATGATTACAGAGCGTCAGTCATGTAATAATGCACGTGACAAAAACCGCGGCCCTCAAGAGGCTTCGCGCTATCGAAAAATTCGAAACCCTTGAAAGTCTTAATAATAAATAACAAAACACGTGATTGGAAAACTATGGACGTTCAGGGTTTTGAACCCTGGACCTTATGCAGCTACACATTGCAAAGCATACGCGCTACCACTGCGCCAAACGCCCCAATTATTGTGGGTTTAAAACATATTTATCAGGTCACGCCGAAGAAGACCTCTTCCAAAATCGGGTTGCGATCACAGTCGTGCTCCTCGAGTTTTCACCATGACCTTGGGTTCTTTACTTCTCCCCTCTTCCAGCAAGTCAATTGATAGAGAACTAGATTCCCTATTCCAATCCAATGTAGGTGCTCTATTGTAATGACGACCTCTATCTTTACACAATAGCAGGCTACGAAACCCTCACTTATATCTGGGCCATCGAAAAGTAATGTGACGGAAGTGACCTCGAAGAGACGTAAAAACGAACAAGAATCCGCCATTTCTACTAAACGATTCAAGGCTACTTCTTCCGAATCCGTAAAGCAAGGCAAGACGTCGAAGCCAATAAAAAAACAAAAGACTCTGAAGCATACGACCAAAATCGACACCGACGGTGAGAACGATGGCGAGCTGGAGGATGCATACGCGAAGTTGAAAGAGGCCCAGATTGAGAAGGACGGCGAATCCGAGTCAGATGAAGATCCCTCGAAACTTGTTCACGAATCGGTAGCTCAGAGTGGTCCTTCTGCTGGTCATTCCAGTCAGAAGCGCAAGTTCGTGCCTTCGGACGAGACTCAGATGCAGCGGGATTTACGAACGATCTTCGTCGGGAATCTATCTATCGAAGTTGCTCAAAAAAAGGTGCGTTATACGCCTTCTCGGTGCCGACTGTTCTTATTTGTTTCACGCAGTCTGCACTTAAACAGCTACATCGACATATTATTGGTCTCATTTCCAACGCAAAAATTGAATCAACTCGTTTTCGTTCTGTAGCTTTTCAGACACCTACGTCCAAACTTCCTGAGGACGACACCTCTGAGAAGAAAGTGAAGGTACCAGGGAAGACAAAGCAAGGTAGAGAGCACGACAAGAATCGTGCTTCGTCATGGAGAGACAACGAAGAGGACTCCACTAAAAATGACGAGAAGAAATTCCTTACACCGAGCCAAAAGAAACGCATTGCTTTCATCAACCACGATTTCCACTCCTCCGCCGACCTCACCAACGCTTACATCGTTTTTGCGCACCCCGTTCCGTCCGAAAACAGACCGTCCAATCTGCCTCCTTTGCCCTCTACGCTAGACCCATACGAAGCGGCACGCTTAGCAGCGGACCTCTGTAATGGCTCGACCTTCATGGATCGTGTTCTCCGCGTGGACCTCGTTGGTAGAATGGACACGCACAGTCATGGTGATCCGTTTGACGGTGATCCCAAGTCCTCAATTTTCGTCGGCAATTTGGATTTTGGGAGCAAAGAGGACGATCTTAGGGTGTTTTTTGAAACGCTTGTTACGGGAGAGCGTGGACTGCCCGCTGGTAATGACGAACAGGATGGAGATGCGAAGAAGACGTCGACGTGGGTGACCAGGGTTCGAATCGTTCGAGACAAGGAAACTCAGCTTGGGAAAGGATTTGCATACGTCCAATTTGCTGTGAGTATTTCTTTTATGTCATTCATCTATGCAGATAACTCACGGACTCTCCAGGACCGGCAATGCGTCGATGAGGTTCTAGCCTTGGAAGAAGCAAAGCTCAAATTCGCCAAACGCACACTGCGTGTGCAACGCTGCAAGACGCTTCCAGGAAAGCGCCAAACCACTAGTTCGGTGTCCACGGGGACCAAGACCTCAGTCCAGCCGTCAATACCCGCCGGTGACCCTTCGCTAGGCGATAGGCTCGCTCATCTCACCAAAGAGGCCCGCAAACATGTCAAGTCCACGGATGCCGACCGCGTGGCACGACGCTTGGCGAAGAAGAAAGCGAGGCTGTCTTTGGGTAAGGAGGGAGTAAAGATGCACGGGAAAGAACGTGAAAGATCACGAAAGAAGCCATCATCGGGTTCATCTCGCAAAACAAGTTCTTCAAAATCAGCGCGAGTGAGGAGTGATAAGAGTATCGCCAAGAAGAACATGAAAAAGCAATAAGGCATTCATTATGTGTGTTGTTTCCTCTATCTTGTTCCTTCTCCTCTGAATTAACGACGCTATAATAGATACTCTACACTGGTAGTGAATGTAGTCTTATTATTGGTTCCGTGTGCGTCCCGGCTTAAGATTTCCGCGCTGAGATCATTGGACTTGGTGGCGTCAAGATTCTGTTGTTGTTTTTCTTCTTCCAGCGCTCTTCAAAGTGCGGGGTCAGAGTGGGTGTCTCATCATCACATTACGGCTAAATCACGTAGATCTCTGGTGAGTTGCTCTAGTCATCTTCTGATCCCCATGGGTAATTCGGGTGTCAGAACCTCAGTTGGAAAATTTGCGCTCAAGTTGTGAATGCACGACGACCGACCCCAATAGTAACCTCAAATTGTAACGCCCAGATATGTATTTCACTGTTTCCTGAACTTGTCGCACTAGGGCATACTTCCCGTAAGCGGATCTTGTGCGGTGATGCGCGCCACGCGGTCCTGCATTTTCCTAACTTAAGATTGTATCGACCGTCCAGGCCTACCGGATATGTTTTCGACTTTCAGAAGTCAGTTATTCCGGGTCAGAAGGAGGAGAATCCGTGACATTTCCTCAATAATCCCTCGCTTCTATTCATTTTTGTTGTCAGCTTCCCTGCTTTTCATTGGTGTGGTGTGCGTTGAGATCTCACGAGCCCAGAGGCGTTTTCTTGTCTCCGGTCCACGCATCATCTCGCATCACACCAAGAACTTCTTGTGGGTGATGCTTTGGTTATTGCCAGTCCGATCCGTTTGACGCATGGGTGTTCCCAGGTGGTAGACTGCGGCGACGATTGGCTCATGTATATTCAAGACTCGGGACCCTAGCGCTTCAGTCCTCGTTGCTTAATGACCGACGTCCCGAAAAGATTGTGCTACGCGGATTAATTACCATCGAGGATGTCATTGCAAGATTCTCGAATTCGGTAGTATGAAATGAATTTAGTACACTGGTGCCGAACCTTGACATCACGGAACTTGGAAAAGATTATATAGTAACTTCCATAAGCGCGCTGATTCCCTGCAACCCGTGGGTGGTCGCCAGCGTTCCCATCTCTCCTTCCGATACAGTTCCTTCCTTCCCCCCATCTCAGCATGTCCAGCGTCATCCATGTCGATTCCACCCTCGGCGCAGCATTAATTGGGTTCGGCGTTTCCTGTGCATTAGTCGGGGCGCTATGTATACAGGCTTTCTCGTACTTTCGACGGTATCCGTTTGATGCACCCGCTTATAAACTTCTGGTGCGACCACGTCTCTCCTTCGAACCTGCAGTCCGTTAATTTTGCTCATGGACAGGTGGCGGCTATCTGGTATGCGGATGATATTCGCCATGATACGGCGATCCGCTGATTTCTCGGGTATAGGTCATTAGAAATTGTCGACCAGGCGTTTATTGGGCATTGCGTGTATTATTATACGATATCGTGCGTGACATCAAGTTTGCATGATGAGTCTCGAGTGACAGAGCCCAAAAGAAATTATATGTCACCGCAAGTTTTGTTGTTCGGAGACGTGATTTGGACGCTCATTGTAAGTCATTCTCTCCATCTAGTGATGATGACTCACAGAGGCTGTTGACAGATTCAGTTAGTTTTGGGTGTACGTACCGGCCAATGGCTATCGGCCTTGCAAAGTATTAATGTCTTTCAATAGGTCGTAGTGGGTACTATTGTTAAAACGTACGGCGACATGTGCTCCCAATCATGGCTTGTTAACTGGTTCGGTATTCAGATGCTTTGCCATGCGTGTATGGCGATGTAAGAGTCTCAAGTCCTGTCTTTTCGGGATGTACCTTGATGATACCCAGTCAGCGGACATAATCTTCCCATTACATGCTTAATTGTAAGTCATGATCGATTGAGATATCCATGTCATTTGACATTCATTTCTTGAAACAGCTCTTCTTGACATATGGACAACTCGGTACGCTTTAGAAATATTCCCTCCATGACCACTCTGACTGCCGAGTTCCGAGCAGGGCTCGCCATAGGTACCTCTAATTTCGGAACCGTTGAAAGAGATTAGCTGACCCACCTGATTACAAAAGCATATGCTGTTCGAGCGTAAGATCTTATCCTTTTTCTCAGAATTGTCCCTGGACTGACATGTGATCTTCTTGTTAAGTTTTCAGCTGAACAAATTGATGTACATATCGAACTTGAAGGTCAGCACTCGCCAATTCTGAATGCCGTAGCGATTCTAATTATGTTATTCCAGACTCTAGCCTCGCTTTCCCTCGGCGCCGGCGCCTTAACTGATATAATCATTGCACTTTCCTTATCCTTGTTCTTGCGGAGACTAAGAACAGGTTACAAGAAGTGAGCCATTCCAACCCTGTGATGAAAGAACACTCATGTTGAGTCAATGATCCAGTTCAGACTCTGTTGTCAACAGACTCACCATCTACGCCATCAACACGGGCGTTCTGACGAGGTCGGTGAGAGTGAGAATGTCCTTGTATGACGGAGGTTGATATGGTCCAAACATATTTATAGCACCATCAGCATTACGACCTTAGTATTGGTGAGTACAGGAAATATGAACTAGCGAGAAACGTCCTAACCACATGGACAGTATGACTTGTATCCTACGAACTTCGTTTTTATGGCCTTCTATTTTGTTTTGAGCAAATGTGAGCTATATTTGGCTTGGCCTCTTGTGCGCTGATCTTGGTTTCTATTCCAGTATATGCCGTTTCTTTTATGTGTACCTTAAACACCCGGCATATCGTAAAAGGACGCGGAACAGACAGAGAAATGGGGACTGAAAGTCCGACAGCTCATCTCTTTGGCAACGCATTCTACATGGTTCAACCACAGACGCTGAGATCGCAATCGCAAACGCAAAAGGTTCTTCTCATCTAATTTGACAAGCCTCTGGTTTAATCGATCTTGTGTTAGACTCAATTAACCATCGGAATACATCAGGAAGTTTCCGTAATGTCAGACGCTGACGAACCACTGAGCACTCAAGCTCAAGAGGTATTATTACATCCGCTCTGCTATGGAAGCCGATTTGTTGATTTGGATTTCTCAGCCGCCAATAGCAATGCCTTCGCATCCGAGTCAGGGTTACTTAACTACAAACTAAACGGGATCTGCAAGCTCTTATCTTATCTTATGCGTCGAGTGGATCCTGCCCGCATAACCGCGATGGAGGAGCATACTTTAGAGTATAATGTGTGTATTTTACGGACAATTTTGTAGTTGTCCCGTGTAAAAACGCTATCTAAGACTTGTAGCTATCTCAGACGTACCAGACGGAATTCCACATGCGCACCATGTCCGGCTTTCATACAGATGAGCTTGTCTTGTCTTCTTTGCCATTGCCAATGTCGGACCCGGCAGTGGTCAGGTACCGTGCCGTACTCAGGTCCATCATCAACGCGGAACACTCAAACATTCACAGCAGGCCTTCTGTTCACACACTGCCCCCGACTACATGAATCCTAGGCTTCTATCGTTTTCAATGGACGCGCATCGAAATCTTTTTCAGCCATCAACGCTAGTGCCATGTTGGGCACAGGAACCCACTCAACATCAATCGGGATGCAAGCGGTAGCCGATTTCATTTGGATCACTTGATTTTCCATAGCGATCGAAGGACAGGGAAAAATAACTACGGTCCACGAGTCTCTCCTAGAGTGCATGTGCAGCACCGATTGCCAGGTTCGGACCGTCCGTTCTTCTACATAATTAGGCTTGGTTTCCGGAAGGTCCCTGCCCCTGCCCTTTCCCTTTGCTTCTGTGGGTCACCTCTTCCTCTCGCCTGCCATGGCGTCACCTTCGGAACTGAACATCAACACTACACTAGGCGCAGTCCTCATAGGATTCGCCGTAGCTTGCTGTGTCTACGGAATCCTCTTCGCGCAAGTTTTCAGCTATTTCTCGAGATTTCCCTTTGATCGGCCGGTTTACAAAGGGCTGGTGCATATCTCGATTTTTCCATTCTTCTTTTCCCCCCCTGCTGAAATCGTGTCTCACAGGTTTTGCTCATTTTGTACGTGTTTCTTTTCCAACAATACGCGCCGTTGTTTATCCATATCTTCGACAGACTCCTTGAAACTACCGATCAAGCTTTTATCGGACACGTAGTGTATCACTATACTATCTCGAATTTCGCGAATGTGTTGGCTTTGGCGCAGGGAACCGTGACTTGGTGCGTCATTTAGCATCATTGCTCTGTTCACTAGCTCACATCGTCTGGCACCTAGGTCATTCATTGTGAGTGCTTCAAATTGGACCCCCGTCTTCAGTCCGTTCATTCTTCCTCAAAGCTGCAGCAAACTATTGGAGTGAGTTGCGTATAGTCACCTATCCCTTCACCTCCTGATGCCCGAGCCAGGCCGTCGTGGGCTGCATGGTAAAAACGTTCGTGACACTCGTTCCGCAGTTACCGCATATTAACCATTCGGGTATAGATCCTTCGCGTTGCGAGTGTGGAGATGTGGGTGGCAGTCTCTCGGCCTAAAACCCCAAGGAGATTCACTTTTCAACTACAGTCAGTGAACACAATAAGTTTATCACCGGCATCATCGTAAGTTTCATTCATTGATCCTTTTGGTTCCTTGTTTATCTGATGACCCTGTTTACTAGTTATTATTAACGTATGGCCAGCTGGGTATGTCACCCCAAATTATCCGCAGTTGTATGGAAGCATACTCACTTACATCTGCGTTTGTGGAGGCCTGGCCATTGGTGAGCTCATCCCTTGCATTGTATATAAAAATTCTCACTCAAATGATCCAGCGTTCACCTTGAAAGCGTATGCTGATACTCAACTTTGGTTTAATTGGCATCTGAAGCTCTTCTAGGTTTCAATTGACTGGGGTCTTCGAGGTTATCGATCTTCGGGTCGGTGGTTTTTTGTGCACACGACCATGCCTATTCTTATGCGCGTTCATAGGCTCTGGGATCCACCTCTCTGGGCGTTGGGGTTCTAACTGATGTGGTTACCGCCGCATCACTGTGCTATTTCCTGAACAAACTGAGAACTGGATACCACAAGTGTGTAACCATATTTCCGCAGCATCTCGTACTCACCACTGAGCAGATCGGATTCATTGGTCAATAGCCTTGTCCTATATGCAATCAATACCGGCGCTTTAACTAGGTGACCAATATGCCGAGCATTGAATCTAATAAAACTGATCCTAGTTTTAAAGTGCCGTCAGTTTGTCGACCGTGATTTTTGTGAGTGCGCCCACATGTTTAGCACATCTGATGTCTGATGGTTTTTGGCTAGTATAACATCATGCGCGCCAATTTAGTTTTTGTCGCGAGTTTCTTCATCCTGAGCAAACGTGAGTAATGAAACCATATTCTGGTCATAGGTCTGATGTCTCGTCCAGTTTACGCTATATCCTTCATGGCAACGTGCGCATAGAGTTCTTTTTTTTCTTTTTCATCGCAGCTTACCGGCCATCGCGCGCGCAGGCTAAACACCCGGCGTATCGTGCGAGGCAAAGGGACTGATAAGCAGGGAACGACCACCAACAACACAAATTTGTTTCATCTTGGTACACGGATGCCAAGCATGGGCCACATAGACGTGGATCAATGGGATAATAGCCCTGTCAGTCCAACTTCTAAGGTATTTCTCTCCCGTTTATCGTTTTCGTTAGCTTGACCGTTGTTAAAGGATCCGAGTAACGAGTTCCCGTTCGATTCTTACTATTATCCTCAAAAGTGAGCTTCTTTCTTGTATGGCCAGGTCGTGCGGTGTTCAGTATGCATTTCGCAGGGCCGTCTCTAATGGCGTAGCAGTGTAAACCTGAGGTATCTCGGGGTGATATTCGTAGTTACAGTCGCGTTTTTTTAGCACAAAATTGTACCATAGTAATTCGACTTCCGCTCTTTATGTTGTACTCTTACTATAACACTCTCAATTTGACTACAAGCGTCGTCATCGACGCAATACGCCACCATCAGAGGAAATTGTCTGGACAACCGGCACCTGATAAGGCACATTACATAGGTATGGAACCTATGGAACCGGTGCCGCGGAAGCCGAATTTCAGCACATGCATAGATACAAGAGGACCTTAGTGTATTCAAATTTATTCCGTTACCCACAACTGAAGCATCTGAGCCATCAGCTGCAGTCAACCACAGTGATCATCAAGGTCCTCACTATGAGCTCTAGGCTTTGATCTCGTAGCAAGATATCTGAAAATCAAAATCTACCTTGACCTCCAAGCTTGCCTATAGGCATAAGAAGCTCATAACCAAGCCGCCTCATGGTGCAAGAATCCGTATGCTATGATCAGATATGGATCTGTGTAGTCCGAATCCTTCTTCTAGTTCAGCATGATAGAAGCTCAGGTGCCAACCCCAATTCACCCATCAAAGGGATGAGCGCAATTGGAAACCTGAAAGGCCCTGATATCGGACGGTGTCGAGCGAGGAATGGGGAACGAAAGTTTTCCATTAGTTTTCGGCCTCCACAAGTTCCTTTTCGATCATAAGAATCAGAAGAAGGGTCTGCGCGTCATAGGTCAGCGTTGGAGATGGGTGTCGTCAGGTCCGCGGCATAGCTTGGCAAAAGATATTACCAGTACTTATGACTGCCACCGTTCATAATGACCATAGACCGCTTCCTTCCTGGATGTTTGACGCCTTGGAGACGTTGGAATCACACCGTCCAACGTTAAAGTCGTCTCTAGTTCTGGAAAAAGGCGGCCGGTATGAGATTCGTAGCCTACTCTTACCCGAACACCGATCTCTAGCTCCATCTTGTGGAGAACAGCAGATCTCAGGTTCGCTGTTTTAGTGCTTGAAATAATTATGATATATTCTCGCCAACGCGACCCTTGAATTGTTCCCCAGCGATTAATTGATCTCTTTCCGCGTTGACTTGTCTAGCTCAGGCGAGAGCCCGTCGTTCCAACGTTCGGTCTAAGATTCTCGAGATGCAGGTCCGAACGCCGACCCATCAAGATGTGAGCGAGTTCGAGGGACGGATCGCAGTGAATATAGGCTCTTCACAGTAGATATGAGACTGAGGAAGGAGGCAAGTTCTGGAGCATATGGATACGTTTTGATTGGAGGATCTGCCTTGATATTCACTGAGAACATTTTTCGACCCGGCAATAGAGTCGTAGTATTTTTCTCGTCTTCGCCCTTCCCTTCACATCGTCATCCCCCGACTCGTCCTCGGGGGGACCGTTACCACTGAAACGCCGATCCCTGCGGCGTCCGTGATGTCGCATTGAAGCGGACCTAAGGCGTATCGCGAATATCATCTCCGGTTTGTCCATCCTTTTTGCTCGCCAAGGTCAACGACTGGTCGGGAGACAGTAGAAGGAGTAGACAAAATTGCTTTTCGCTTCGGAGAAATCACGAGAGATCATATCGATCAAAGGGTAGGATATGCATGTATTTCCTCTGAGATGTGCATGCACTAGATGATGATAGTCTTTCTGCCCCTGATTATGCTAAGGCCGTAGACCTGCGCGTAGATGCAGATGAGCTGTTCACAAATCCTAGAATTCCTCGTGCGTAGGGATGGGGTTGGACGGATGGGTGAAATGAAATCAGACGAGTCCTCATGAAAAAGACATGGATTGCTTCGACGGTAGACCTGGAAAGATATCTGTAGCCAATCAAGAGAAAGACAAGGGTGTTCTGAATCTATTTCCGAAGAAGCTGCAGACATTGCGAAGAGAACTCTTCTATTCCATGCGATGACCGACGGACGCCAAGTGCCCGAAAACGCGAAGAGTCTTCAGTGATGAAGATGAAACCATTGGACGGAGACATGCAGGGTCATCAAACTGAGCGAAGGAGTACCGAGATTTCGAAGCGGATAGTTAGATGACTCATGGAGGGTGGCAAAGTAGAGTACGCACATGTGCTCCGCTGTGGAAGGTAACTTATGCTGGAAGGTTGGACTACAATTCGGTACATGGACCTAGGAAGAGTGGTACGCCGCTACCATGCGTGAGGCAGGATCCATGATTCCCAATGCGATGAGTTCGGGGATCGAAAGTTGCGAATTCGACAAAATATGCACGGCCAGGGCATAATGATGCCCTGAAGATATATACGGAACCAGAGGGGGACCGTAGGGACCATGACATGACTCATATGAGGTACCAGAATATGTCAAGGGTCGGCCAAGATGGTGAAAGGAAGCATGGTTTTGTCGATATCGATGAATCTCCATTTTCGCGTGCTACTGAGAAGCAAGAGACAGCAAGAGGTAGGTTCCATGCACGTAATCCGAAAGCTACGGAGCAGATTCAGGTCTCGCAAGAGAGGAAAAAAAAGTTCGGGTCCCGAAAAAGATTTTCGAAAACGTAGGAAGTAGTGAAGATATAGACTCGAATCAGTCTGCCCACTGAAGAAGTTGTCGGCAGGCAGAAAATTTGTTAGATTATTCGTTTGACAACACAACTGATACTCCAGTCCAGTTGAGATAGATAAGCAGGGAATAAACATTCGTAGATAAAGATCTCAGCATTAGGTCGGTAACAGCCTGATTGGGATAGCGGAGTTACAATTCGGAGTTTGAATAACATGGACCTGGTGAACCAACTCAACGAGCTACTCACCGCTCTGCGAATCCCAATACCCATCGAGTCCCCTACCGATCTTACTCCTTCTCTCCTCCTTGCCATACTAGAATGCCTTTTATCTTCACGACTCCCGCTGCCCACCAGTATTCGTCAGGCAGCCGTGTCGCAATCCCCCGCTCGGCGTGCTGAGGCTCAGAGTGCCAGAGTGCATTGCATGAAGATCTTTCTAGGCATCCTAGAGACCGATATTCTCAAGGACAATGACATGGGTCTCAGTGGCGTTGACCCGAGGAAGCTGGCCACTGGAGAGTGTGCTGAGGTCATGCTCGTCGCGGAGGCGTTATGCTGGATTGGACAGCAGGCTGGACTCGTACAGGCAGAGAGACACGCGCATAGCCCATCGACGATGACAACGATGACGTGTACAAGCTCTCTTCTCCCGATGGGCGCGTCAGCCACCGAGTCTAATACGACTATTAGTTCACACAACTCTGCTGGTACGCCAGAACTCTCACCGCGTACGCCTCCGAGATGCATTCATGAGGTGCCTTCACCTTTGCGAATGTCCTTGTCTCTGTTCCACGAGGAGCAAAATTTGGAAACACATGTCACGGTGCCTGTCAGACATTCCGGTACGATTGAGCATGTGGACCAGAACCGGGAAGTCGAATCTTTTGAGTCTAGTGGGGCACACTGGAGCATGCACTCAAACAGTAACCAAAGCGTAAGTTATCCCTGTATCGTTGCATTGTACGGAATTGATCGTTTTATATAGGCGCTTTACGACTCCGACTACGGTGACGAGCATCTGAGGACCGTGACCTTACTGAAAGAACGTGCCAGACTTTTGTCTGAAATTGCCAAAGCCCAGAGAAAGGGCCTGAACCCGCGCTTCGCCTTATACAGACCTGTGTGAAGTGAAGCGGTGGGTTTCAATCATTTTGACAATGACAAGCTAGCTGTCTACCTCTTATGAAGCGGCACCTATCGTGAGCTTCCTTTCTTCTCGTGCCCTGCGAATTTGTCTGACTACTCCATAAGACGTTTCTGACTGGGTCGTGCCACAGACGCAGACCTTTTGATACGAGCATTCATGCTCCTCGCTGTAATTCTACTCAGCGTAGAGACATGTCGGGAGATCCATCTTCTATGTTCTTGAGTTTTTGTCTGTGGCCCAGATGGCAAGATGCGACATCATCGCGAGTCTGCAAGTTATACGGCGTCGCTTCTCTCCTGTCCCCCTGTCCTCGCTCTTCCTCTCTCCGTATTGATATCCTCTCTGCGTTCCTGCATGCGCCTCGCCATGGTATGAGGCTACTCACCTTGACTTCAAAGCGCAAGGTTGCTATCAGCCCGGCTGGGGAGCTGAGCTCCCTCATAATTCGTTGGCAAGCCGAATTCCGGGGACACATTTCAGGCCCTTCCTCGAGCCTTTGCCAGAAGCTCCGCCGTCATCCGAATGTCTCGCACTCGCGCATGTTTTGACAGCGGTGCCAGACGAGGGAGCTGATATCGGTTCCGAAGCCTCCGACTTGCGTTGCCGCCGATCTCGAAGCCAACGTTTGGACCTTCCACCGAGTCCCATCGACGCATTTATGGACCACTATCGTTTCGGACCATGCCGTCTCCAAGTCAATTTGGGAGGGGAAGAGAGCGACCGCCTGCATATCAGGTGGTCGGCAACTTTGTTTAGGAAAAGGGAAATTTGTTATTTCGTCAACATCTTTATCCTTCTATAATCAGCGCTTTTGCCGCTCTCACCCTCGTCGCTTCATTTTGTTCTTCATTATACCAGCTGCATCGGTGACACCCTTTCTCAGGAGATTCCCCGAGCGAAGGCTCTGACCAGCGGAATCTCCGAAGTTACGAGTCATTAATACCTGACGAGCATACTTACCTCCAATGTCAACGCATACTGTACTCTCCATTTTGGCGTTCTTTCAGAAAGGTCCCTTATACTGTACGTGCTAAGCAGAGCATTCTTTTGCCTACCAACCCCCTATGCATTTATCCTTTAGCGGGGTGATTCATGCACGGCTACCCTTTGTTTTTCAGTCATAACGTATCAACGACAGTACTGAGACACCGCTTTATCAACGGCATGCATCTTACCTGCAGCCGCCAGTGTCCCCGGCCTTCAGAGTTTTCAGTAACCTGTTTGTCCTGGCCTTACGCCGGTCAACTTAGGTGACTGAAGCGGACGCTGTATCCGTAGCGATAAGCGCCGGCATCTTTCCTTGACTCATATTTTCCCAGAAAATCAATTGTTGCTCGCATTGATCTTATTGCTGTCCCGCTTTTCAAGTTGCCGTGAGCAAGGGCTCAGATGATGTTGATCAGGCAAGCCTTGCCAGAACTCTTGACTGTAAGCCTGTTGAGATGATCAAGCTTTCAGAGCAGAAGTGGCCTTTTGTGTAGAGAATCCCACCTCAAAGGGGTGGAAGTCGTGCTCACTTTTGTCGTTGCTATTATCACCGTCGTTGTTCACGTCCTACGCATCTGAGTCGGCGAGTCACTGAATCACGAGGTATCAATGTCACCTGCATTGGAGTAGGTTGTTTTTGTCTTTTTTGATGCCGGCGCCATTGTTCTAGAACAGAATAATCAACTGTCACGGAACGCGAGATGAAAACGCATGAAAGCCACCGTTTGATGAAGGAATGAAATGACTAGTGGGAGGGGGGGATGATTGAAAGGAAGGGACGTTCCTTTGATTTGCTCATTTTTATATTGGCTCTGGGAACCTGTCATTTTTCTTTGTGCCAGTAATGCGTAATGCAGAGGGAATCTGGGGCCAACGGAGATGGTGTGGCTAGAAGAAACATGACAGAAGACGAACAGATAAAGAAAAGTGGTTGTTGAGTCCAAAGGTTTGCAAGGTAACCATACTTAGGAAATATAGAAAACTAGCAAAGGAAGAAAAGTCAAATATCTAGTTGTGGTATCAAGTGGCATATGTAGAAATGTTGGAATTTATGTGCTGATGATTCGGAAGGAGGCGTATTGGACTCGAAAGGAAGGTATATTCCGTCGTACAGAGTAGGGACAGTGGGGGTTCCGAGTCAAGTCGATAGGTACGAAAATGTCAAAGTATAAGGTAAGCAGTAAAAATATATAAATAGAATGTGACATTAAAGCCGTGAAAACCGAATCTCAACGAGAAGAAACTTTTTGCTTCTCGATATGGATTGCATGGCACCGACTGCGCTTTGAATGCATGGGGAAGTGACTAGTATTGGGGTTTAGAGTTCGACGTCCGAAAAAATGGACTGAAAAACTTGTAAACGATTGACGTATAATTTCACAACAATCTTGCCCGCAAAGGTATTGGTAACGACGCGCGATATACTGCCAAACGTCACAGAAAGCGTTGAATATACTTCCCAGTCCGAAGAACGGTAGTTATTGACGCGTGTTTGGTTGTTGAGGTCCCTGCGTGTTGCTGTGGCGCCTTTCTCTCTCATTCCCTCTACCATGTCGCATGCATACGCCAGTCCCCTCCTGCCTTCCTGTTCCTTGAAAATTGCAGAAACGGCCGTCGCAATGATATAGGTTCGCGGCAAAATCTGCGCTATCACCGTCCGCGGCAAAGTTCTTCCTGAAACGATTGTTTGGCCAGATGTAACTGCCATCTGGACTACACTATTCTTTCTCTGGGATCATCATGTCGCAGTCCACTTCAATAACAAAGTTCAGTATTAACCGGTCCAACAGCCTTTCAGGCTCTCTCGAAGACATCATACCACCCAGTCATTCCGATAGGACCTTGGTTTTGTGTTTTGATGGGACCGGTACGTATGTTGTAAACGTTTTCATTGAAAACTGTTGCTTATACTGCGCAAAGGGGACCAATTTGACAGTGATGTGCATCGGGGACTACTCAGAGCGGGCAAGCCGCTAACTGTGTATATTGCCAGAACTCCAATGTCGTGAATTTCTTTTCTACACTGAAGAAAGATGATCCCAAGGAGCAATTGGTGTATTACCAAGTACGTTGCACCAGTTATAATTTTACCTAGCTAACGTATATGTAGTCGGGCATTGGGACATATGCGATTCCTGAGGTGGCTTCGCCCATTACTGCCAAGATTACCAAGGTCGTTGATAGTATGATTGGCATTCACCTCGACGCTCACGTCATGTGTATGCTACGTCCTCAAATCCATGTCTTCATGTCTGACCTACTGCTTTAGCTGGATATGAGTTTCTAATGCAGAATTGTCAGTCTTCCGCTCACCCGTATGAAACCGATGATGAAACTTGCTTTCAGATGAAGCCGGGGATAAGATTTGTTTATTTGGGTGTGTATCCGGTTCACTCTGCAACATTTGCGCCGAATGCCCATCCAGCCTCAGGTTCTCCCGTGGGGCATACGTGGGTGCCTCGAGGCCATCGATACCGCTGTCACGTAACTGAATATAAATATATTTAGACTGCCCGAGCGTTGGCCGGAATGTGCGTATTCCGACAATCTTCTCAGCTCTTGATGCTAACCCTTGGAAAAATAGGATTCACAAGGTAGAGTTTCGTTATGGTCCCATTTTACCGTCAACTCAGACTTTCCAGGTCGGACTACTGCCTAGAGCGAATCATCAACAAGTGCCGTTTGCTTACAAAATGTATTCCCGAGAAGATGAAACGGGATGGAAGCAAAGCGCCGCATTCAAAAAGGCTTTTTCTATCGACGTTGACATTTATTTTCTCGGTGTTTGGTCTTTACTGCTCTCTTATGGTGTTTTACCCGTAGTAACTGCTTAGTCAGGGATACCGTTGGTGCTGTAGGGATATTCCCTCGCCGTCTTCCTTTTACCACGTCCAACGTCCATGTCAAGCATTTCCGTCACGCCCTTGCTCTGGATGAGCACCGGATACGATTCTTACCGGCATTTTGGCACCGTACATGCTCCGTGCAACATAAATTAGGACTGCAAAAAGGCGAGATGCCTAGATCCCATTCTACTCGTGTTAAATCGCTGAGGGAACTCGAATCGGAGTACGATCGTGTACATGCCGATACGCCGACAGACGTGGAAGAGGTGTGGTTCGCTGGGTGTCACTGCGGTTTGTGTCCCGTCCTTAGCGGTGCCCCGTCAAGACTGATGATCTCTATGGACCATCCAGATGTTGGAGGAGGTGCGGTAGCCAATGAAGTTCGGCATAACCTCGCACGAATACCGTTGAGGTGGATGATTCGGCAATGTTTCCTAGTCAATACGGGAATCATGTTCCACTGTGAGCTGTTGAAGCGTCTGGGGATGGAACCGACGCATCTGCATCCCGTTGTTCCCCCTCGGCCGGCCATGGATACTGTTGCGAAGCCGCTTTATGCTACCAATGAAGAAGAAGAAGACTTGCTCGACGCGCTATGTCCTATATACGACGAGCTAAAAATAGCCCCTGGCTGGTGGATTCTTGAACTCATTCCTACAAAACTGCGATATCAGAAGGGTGATAATACATGGGCGAAGGCGATCACGTAGGTGTCCCTTTATCATCGAGAAATGGAATTAGGACTCACGTTGACATGTTTAGGATGAATAGAGGTCGACCTCGGCATATACCTAGGCAGTATCAGGAAGGCTTCAAGGTCCACAGAACGGTCAAGCTGAGGATGGAGGCGGAGAGTTTGGAGGGAGGTAAATATTTTCCGCGGCCACGATGGTCTGTTGAGCCTACGTGGGTTGATTGACGTCTTCGACGCTGCAATACATTGCATGGTATTCGCATCACTTGACTTGTTTGGTAGTCTGAAGAGCGACTAATATGAATGGGTCACGGTGTTGATATTAACTGGTATGTCGCAATTCCGCAGACACTTGAAGTCGGCCGAAAAGTCCGGCAGCTATTGCCGACTCGGCCGCTGTAACCGCTCTGTTTAAGTTTTCTTCACCACCAAATGCTACCCACATGAGTCAGTGCACTACTACCCTTTGTAACAGTAAATCTGACGAACTGTGGTTCCTCAAAAAGGCTTTCACTTGATGACAATCTTTTCTTTTTTGTCCCTGAACAGCACTCGGCACATCAACCAGATGCACTCGCTCTCATGCTGTGAGCTTGCTTCGATTCTGCTGATGTCGATAATGGATGGCCGGCCGTTTAGCCGCTTTCTCTCTGCCTTGGGTGCGGTTTGATGCTCCTACTGATCAACAAGAAGATAGACGCTTGTTCTTCGCGGTCGCCTCGTAATTGAGTTCACATTCGTGTCTTAGTCTTATGGTCTTCCTTTATGCCGAGGATCTCAATCCGCTGACTCGGAGTCACGTTTAAAGACGAGGACAGCACACATTACATCTACACGGCATCATCCTTTATTGATGACCATCCACGGGATATCGATGTGGAGGACACTTTCAGCTGTCTATCTATTTTTGCGTTTTGATGGAGCCCCCCATTCGATTCATCACAGAGGCTGTTTTTTAGGTATCAAGTTTCAACGATCTGTGTCATTGATGATGACGAGTGCGAATTCGTTAACCCCTACCTTGCTTCCACATAGTACCCAATGTCTACCGTTCCCATTCAAGTTCAAATGCTATTTTTCAAAATATATACCTGGTATGTTCATGTAGTTCATCACACTAATTGCTTTGGGTTCTGACGACCATGTAGCTGCGGCGGCGGGTTTTAACGTCGTGGGACCATTGCCTGACGAAAGTTGTCCATTTAATGAATCGTTACTTTACGGAAGCTGTGTTGATATACCGCATTTATGGTCCGTAAATGCCCTTCATAGCCCTGGGATATTACTCACCTATAGTTCTAGTGACGAGCCACCTGGCGCAACCTACTAAACAGCGGATTTGGCTGAGTTACATTTCTGCTATTATCGCTGCCAATACTTCGCAATGTGGGTTTGCACGATGGTCTGGATTTATCAGGTTTTTACTGACTGTCGAACTTCAGCCTACATCATGATGCGCGCCTATCGCCTTTGGGATCACAGACGGTCTGTTCGCAGGACATTACTCATTGTATTTGGTATCAGCGGGGCAGCTGTAACAATTCTATCGACCCTGTCGGTTTTGAGCTACTTGAATACTGGAGGTAAATGTGTAGTCCATCTTAACGATTCATTGCTAACATTTACCCGCGTAGCCGAATCTCAGATACTCTGCAACATTCAAAGAATACCGAGGATGGTTAATTTTAAAAACTAGGCGTCTTGGTAGGTGCTTTGCCTCAAAGAAACATCCGTTTTCTGATTTTTCCCCAAATTTTCGTAGCTGCTCCTTAATGTCTTTTTAATTCTTATTACCAGTCTACAATGCCCTGGAAAAGCCACGTCGTTACGAAAGTGAGCTTTTAGATTCACTGAGGCGTGATGGCGCCCGGACCTACTTGGTTAGCTGCCTGGTCATTACCTCAACTTAATCTGATCGTCATGACAGGCAGTTTGTAGTATGTAGCGACTACCTCCTTCTTCTTACATCGATCTGACCGCCACTTACAGTGCTATGGTTGCTGCGACTGGTGTCTTCTATTACAATGGAGGTAAGCGTGGGGTATTGGATGTGTTCTACCTCTCATTCTACTATATTCTGTTAGGCGACCCTATTTATTTCTCTATTTATGTGCGCACTTCTATTATCCTATCAAATAATACACTCACGTCTCCACCTCAGTCTTGTGTGCTCCCTGAATGCAAATATTACCGCACGAGTGCATGTTTGCATAGAAGGCTTCCGGCTGCTTGTTCGTGTGCATCCTGTTACGATCTACCGAGGTTCAGTAGAAGGCTATCATTCGTAGTACATAGGGAGCAGCATGGCCTTTTCATGAGATGAACAAGAACAACTCTACACCGAATATCAGATTGCTACATAGATGACATAGATGGTACCATTCTCAGAGTCGTTGGCCAATGGAATGCGCGTGGACACTGCCGTATAATGCTACCTACCTACCTACTATCTTGTTCTTGCTCTCCCAGTCGCACCCTGCCACTGTTCTGTAGCCCATCGTCCATCATCCTCAGCCCACCCTTCTCCGCTCCGCAAAGGGCTGCCCACTGCCCTCTGTACACACTGTTGTCGCTGCCGCCTCAAGTCCCCAGATAACAGCCTATAGTGGATGATATTGCGCGATCGTAGTCGTGCAAGCATCGACAGGCGGGGGTGGATCCGGGATGAACTTCTTTCGAATCGGAATTCCGCACACAAATTAGCTTCAAAGAGCCCGTGTGCAGACTTGGCCAGTGGATGCGCCAAGATCATATGAGAAAAGGCAATCTTGAAACTTGGTTGGTAATAATTTAATGGATAGA